GCTTTCCCGGTAGCATTGCCTTGGGTGGATTTGTAAAAGGATGTTGCCCGTTCGGAGAACATGGATCAGGGAAGTCTGGTGGCTGTGCTGGATCCTCTGGGTCAGGCGGGATGCCTTTGCAGTGCTGCCAGGGATGGGCTTGCAACCTTACACTGCTCTGCCACACGGAGGCAAGAGTGGCACTGTGAGCTCCCTCGCAGCCTTCAGAGCTCGACTTACAGGTCCAGCCTACAGCCTCCTACAGCGGGTGGGCACCTTGCCACCGACTTCTCCGGGAGGAAACACCGCTGGCATGCACAGGGCAGTCTTCCCATTCACTACAGCCCAAACACTGCCACCACCGCCGTCTGTCCACGAGGCAGACCTTGGCTGAACACAGTCTGATCAGCAGCAGGGAGACCACTTCAAGTGCTTTGACAGTCCCCGAGCTCATGTATCGGGCAGGAACGACTCTCTTCCTAAAGGCTCCCAGTGCCCTGGCTGAGTCTAAAGGCAATCCCTCCTCCCCAGCTCCTTCATGGTGCTGCTTTACTGCAGTTCTGTGTTGTATGAAAAACCTTTTGCTTTTTTATTTTTTTGGCTGCAGGATTTATTGTCCTCATTAGCTCGAAACCCAACGTCTGTTTCTACATTGCTGCTCCATGTTAAAAACACAGCTATCCATCACTTCAAGAGATCTCACCCAGAGGTCAGGGAACTTGAACCTATGACAAAAGCCATCCAGACAGATTGCAGTTGCATTTCAGAAAGAGATTTGTTGTTGGGAAGAAAGAAAAGTTAGTGTTTAACCATTTTTCTTTTGGAGTTTTTCTCCAGAACACCACAGAAAGAGCAGAGCAGCATGCTTCCCACTCCCCAACCCACCCCACTTCTCCCTGGTTCTTTTTTGGGGTCTCCTACAGCCAGAGTTTCAGGCTGAGTCTGTGCCGTTCATGTGCTAATCCAGGCTTTACGAAATGTTTTTTATGGTGCATAAAAACTTTGTCATAAAAATCTGTCACAAACATGGTCATAAAATCAAAACCCTATGTTCTCCTCCCCATCCCTAGCTGGAATTTCCTTCTGTTGGAAACTTTCCATCTCGTATAGGAAACCAAACACCCCCTCTAAACTGCATATTCAGGAACACTGAATATCTCTGGATTTGTATATCCTTCTCTTGTTTTTTTAGTAAGTCAGAAAACTGCACCTAAGACCAAAATGACAAGATCTGGTCATCTCAATAATTTCACCAAATAATAGACACCAAAGTATTGGGAGAAGACCAGGCATTCTTAACTGACATTGAAAAGTCCATGAAAGCACAAATGCTAATGTGAGTCTCTCCATGTGCTCAGTTTTACTTGCACATAACTTATGGGACTGTCACTTAAATCAGAGTTTGGTCAGCTCAGAAGCAGCTCAGCTGTGGATGATGCTGGTTGGATGCGTCTACCAGACCAGGTAAAAGGTAAGTCCCGGTCATATCCATGGCTCAGGTGCTCTCATTTGGGAAACATGAGAAAATTCTTGGTCAGTTCTACCCACCCCTGCCAACATCACAGCAGTTTTATGCTGGTATAAATCCTGATTTACACCCACTACAGAGATGAAAACCATCCCCAGTAGTCCAGCCGTGAAACTCAACCTCTGTTTTCTTTGCTTAGCAAAGAATTTGCAGGTGAAATAATAATAAATACTGAGCAGAGAACATTAACTGGTATCCAGAGAGTTTGAACAAATATAGAGTTACATCATGCAAGGAAATCAGAGCAGATCTTGCCAGCCACACCAGGGTTTGCAAACCCACTACTCATCTGTCCAAGTGGTTCTTGCATTTCAAACAACGTTGCATCAAAGGAAACCAGGCTGGTTAAGTTCTTGGGAGCCACTCAAGAAGCACATGTGCTTTTTGGGAGGCAGATATTTTCTTTCTTATTGATTTCCCCTTCAAACCAACTCGCACAACAAGAGAGAGAGAAAGGCATTTTAGGGGAAATGTATTTGGAGGCAGTTGGGTAAATATATACTCAAAGGCTCTGTGTAGCTCGTGGTTCCCTGACTGGGGGGGGTCTCTCCACAAGATTAATTATAAGGCCAGGCTAGGGAGGCACTGGAGAGTGGTTTCTAATCTTTATGCTCCCAAAGAAACTCCTGCATCCCTGAACTCAATGTACCGTGCTAAAAAGATACTGCTCTGAGACTGAAGACTGCCTGAAACAATAGCTGTAAAGGAGTTCTGCCAGGAAGTAATACCGACTCTGGCTTTTATTCATGTTGATTTTATTGATTTGTAGTCATCATGTCAGGGCTGATCACTTCAGAAGAAATGTGCAGCTCGTACCCTTTACCTCAGCTAACAGCCTATCCTTTACATCGCCGGCATAGCTTGGGAGCCCTGCTTCTCCCCAGTCAAACACCTGAGCCGCCAGCTTTCTCCTGAGAAAATGCAGTGACGTGATGAAAACACGAAGTTGTACAGCATGCAGGAAACCGCAGTTGTGCTGACAGTATCAAATTGAAGCGAGCAAGCCCTGGCTCAGCCCACATTCGGCGCGGGTCGCTTACTCCCCATCTAACCACCATGCGTATGGGCTGCCCCATGGTTTCGGCTAGGAGGAAGAAGGGAAAAATTCTGTGAGCAGTACCTCTTTGGGATTTGCAGGGATACATTTCCATCTCTACCTCGTGCAGTGGGAAAGGGGCTTTCGCTGGCATCACCGGTCGGAACATGTAGCTGTCGTTGGGCAAGGAGTGCATACGGGAAACTGAGATCTTGCGGACCGTCAGGAGGTTTTGAGAGTCCTGTGGCCTCAGAGAGGCTGAGCTGCCCTGCAAAGCAAAGAGACAGGGAGATGGGGTCATTCAGCATCTTGATGGTGAATTTACAGCAGTCTCCTTCTCGTCTGATTTATGGTTTAAAACCTTGTGCAGATGTTCCTCTTGGCATCTTATGGAGAGCCTGCTGCCCTGGTGACTGCAACGGGATTCCAGAGCTATGCCGTGCTAGCTGAGTAAAAAGACCTCAAGTTGTGGCTGAAGTAAAATGAGGCATCAATGACCCATCACTAAGCCAACTCCTGGACACTGCAGAGAAAAAGTAAGGTCTAGGCAAAAGGGTCCCACCCTCTAAACACAGGAGAAAGCCAGCAGTTCTCACACTGTTCTGCTCTGATTTTCCCAGGGATGCTTTCAGCCCACCCTGGGTGGTGATGCCCTTCTCCTCAAAGCTACTCTGGGACAGATGGCCAAAACTGGCTGGTCCTTGGCTACACTGACCAAGGGTACAAAGTCTTTCTGGAAATTCATGTATTATCTCTCCGAAACACACATACAGGCAGACAATGAAACATATACATTAACACCACTGCAAACCCTGTGGCCTCTCTCCTACAACATGGAGCATTTTGGTCATCGCTGACCCCAGAAGAAGACAGCCACATGGCAGGAGGCAGAGGGAAGGAGAAGACATCATGGCAGCATGTATGTGGGTGTGGAGCCAGTTTAGGGGTAGAAAAGGGATTTCTCTGTGTTTGCTCTCGCTGTGGAATGGGTCTGGCTGGAAATGCCTGGACAGAGCATGTCACAAACCTTAAACTTGACCCCTCACTCCTTCTCTGAGGCCCTTGTCACTTGAGGCACCTTATAAAAAAAATGTATCCTGGCTTCTTAGGAAGCTTCAGAAACTCAAACAATATCTCTGTGGTGCTGATGGAGCAGCTGTGAAAGGTGGTGCCATGACTTGGCCAAGTGTTGGGGGAGCGAGAGCCCTTGGAACAGGACCTGCAACCTGGCTCCTGGCCCCAAGGTTTTGGTCTTAGACACATTCCCCTCACAATTTACCATGTTATCTAAAGTACGACTAATCACTCTGGTTTGCCTTTAATGTCAGCCTCCCAGTGACTGATGGAAAACATGTTCCCAGCTGCATGTCTTAAATTAAATGTATTTTGCTTTGCTCTGCTGGACTGTTTTCCCTGTCTGCTAGCAAAATCTGGGCCTGAGATCCCTCGCTGGATAGTTTGGAGGTCACCAAGGATCTGGTTAAATCTGTTTTTTTCCATACATTTCTGGCTTACAAATTTATTTCCTCAGATCTCTAAAGAGACACGTCCCAAGGCAAATTACTCGATGCTTTTACCCTGTTGAGCTTGGCTGAGAAGATGCGGGGGGATCAGCAGCAGTTATTTATGGGTAGCTGGCATCCAGTGCTGACTGCTGCCTTGCCCAGCAGCCCTCCGGGTGCAACCCAGGTCCCTTGTCTGATGTATTAATGCATCAGCCGTGTGGCTGTGCCAGTTGGCCTCTGGCCATTACAGCTAATAAGCCATCAGCATCCCAACACCTGAGCTGACGGCAGGCGGGCGATTGTTAACACCCCAGTGCCACACAGAGAACAAAAGGTCTCGCTCTACTTTCTCAGTAGTCTTAACAGAAGGATCACAGTAGCTGTCAATTAAATCTCAGTTCATCTTTACAGGATCTTGTATTCATCTTCTATCGCTGGGACAAATGAACAGAAATCTCCTCTTGACATAAACAACTGCAATTTTTAAGGTTTTAGCTATTGAGACCAAATTGACGTAGGGATGTAGGCACATTTCAAATGGCTTCAAAGCCACTGCAGCAAGCACCTGAAATATGAAACATGGACAGGAAGCTTGTTGGCTCACACCTGGTGAGCTGCTCTCGACAGCTAGGAAGGTTTGGAGACACACCACCATGGGCACTGCTGCTCTTCCTCTTTGGTGGGAAACACCCGATACACTTGGGAGCCTGATCCCAGCCCCTGGAAATCAATGTGGCTCCTTCAAAACCTGGATCAGTGCTGCTGAGACTGCGTATGGTGAACCCTGCCTGCTGGCACCCTGAGAGCCTGGGAGGATCCCAGGCACCTGATAGAGATGTGCAAGGTGGGAGCCTACACGCCAGAGGACCCTTCACAGGCCAAGTAGAAAGGCAATAAATTGATCATAGAGGCTCATGGTGATGCAGCTCAGAGGCTCAGTTAAGCGTCTTTAATCAGTGAGCACAACTCCCTCCTCTTGTGTCTGGGAATCAATAGTCTGTTGAAACTCAGATTTTGCTCTGGTGCAGAGGGAGCTCAAGAAGAAATAATCCTGCAAATACCTCCACAGGACATGACCCTTCCTGGGTGATTAAACATCCAGAAGATAGATACTCTGTAAGCAGAGGTGACTGGCAGGATACTCTGGAAGAGGGAACACTGTAACTTCTCAGAAGCCTGGAGCCAAGAGCCTGCAAACAAGCTGTGGGCAAAATTCCCAGAGGAAGGGCTCCTCCTGATCCCTCTCTGAAGGCGTCCGTCTCCAGCACTGCGAGCGAGCTTAGCCATTTCCCGCACCCTCTGCAGTGGGGAAGGCAGAGGCAGAACAAGGGCAGGAGGTAACTCCCTGCCCACACCTCCTAATGCTGGCACCCCTGTACAGGCCAACTCTGGTGGCATCCAGGGTGCTGTCGGTCCCCGTGGGGGTAACAAGCTCTCAGCTCTGCCAGCAGAAACCCAGGGCCCCTTGCAGTTGCATTTACAAAGTCCCAAATTTTGCCTGTCCCTGAAAGATGCCTTCCCTGTGATCTCCCTTTGAGCCTCTGCATCTTCCTAATGGACACCCTGCAGAGCTATGAAGGGAGAACTTCCTTGAGGATTATACCTTCATATCACTCATCTTGCATGGGGAAAAACCACTTGGTCATCAAGAGTTTAATCCAAGCCCAGAATGTGCTTGGAGATGCTGTGAGATACTTGCCGCTAGAAGGTGCCTTGATAGTCATGATAGAGGACAGGTAATAAAAGGGAAAATGACCCAACTCTAAAGCAGATTAATTCTGGGTGGCCACTGCAAATTCTCTAATGACAGCAAGTGTGCTCCTTCATCACTGACTGTGGCTCGCATGCTCTCATGCCCACCAGAGGACATCTGCAGCGCATTCACCCCGAGGAGGGCACTGTGCTGCAGCAGGGCAAACCGTGCAGCATCTTCACGTGATGTGACCTGGGCACCAGTTTGTGGTGTAAGTGGGAGGGACTGGGCAGAGGGGGCTACAGCCCTTCTGGTCTGCTGGGTGATCTCCCCAGAGCATCTCCTGAATCCACAGCTCTGGTGCTTGCTGAAAGCCTAACACGTTGATCTACTTACGCCTTTGTTTCCTCAGTACTGTATCATAAACAGGTTCTTACAGTAAGAAAACCAAAGTGGGCTGTGTTTTCTCCACAAAGGACTCTGCCTGCCTCCAGCTCTCAATATATCATTTGAAGACCGACTGCTCACACATCACATTGCACATTAAATGCGAGTCTTTTTTTTTTTTTTAGTTAAAAGAAGTATTTCATTCGTGTCCCACACAAGGGTGCTAGCAGAGTTGGCTGGGACACATTCTTTGCCCAACCCCTGCACACGCAAAGGCAGTACGAAGGACAGAGGACAGAAACGACTGTTGTGGCTGTGAAACGACAGGTTCAGGACAATTCAGACACCACCACTAGATGCACAGCACCAAAGCACAATGCCACAATGCAGAAGCAATGGCGCGGCGTCATTCACCTCAGCCTCGTGGCCTGGGGTTTTGTGGGAAGGTGTCAGCATATGGTGGGAAACAGAGCAGAAGGACGGGATTTCCATCATGGGAGTCTCTGCCCCCTCCAGCGTGTCTGAGTCTGGGATGGCTAAAGACACATTCTCACAGCTCAGCGTCTCCTTCAAATTAGGGAGATAAAAAGCATCAGTAGCAGAGCAAGGCTGGTTCTTAACGCTCGAAGACATTTGCCTCGTGGCATTTCCTAGTTACCCCATTCATCCAGAGCAGGAAGAAAGAGAAAAGGAAATCTGGGCTGCAAAAACTGGCACAAACGGCAAGAAAATACAAAGCATCTTGCAACTCCTTCCAGGGTGCCCATGCCACCATCAGTGGCAGGATTAGTCATACAGAGCTCTACGTATTTGACCTCTTCAGTGCAGAAAGCAGGGAGTGCAGCACTGAGCTGCCAGCCATCCACGCCTGCCCAGAACAGCCTGGGTGTCTGAGGCATGAGTGAGGGCATCGCCACAACCCAGTCCCACCACGGTGCCTCTGTCTCGCTACCGCATAGGGGATGGGGATGCCCTGGCTTGCAAATTCTCATCTCATTCAAGCAATCTCATCTGCAGGAGGAAATCTGTGCCCAGCTCACGCTGTTCTCCCTCTGAGGGGCATCGCCTCTCACTACAGGTTTTCTACGGCTAAGAGGAGGCTCTGCATGGCTCCCGATGTGCTTGGCAGGTATTGGAAGATGAGGAAAACCCAAGGAGAATGAACTCAGTTAGCAATCACAGCCTATGTGAAAGGATGTGCCCTCTCTTCCCCCAAAGAGAAAAGCAACCTGGGTGTTTATGGTGCATTTTCCTGCAGAAATGTCTATTAAACACTACATTTAAATGGTGAATTCCCCATTGCTGTGTAACTAAATTTCTTTCACTTGACTTAATAGAGTCTGATAGATTTTACAAAAATCTAATTTAATGTAATTTAATCTCAAATCCCCCATTGATTTTGCAGTAGATTTATTTGCGATCACAGTGACAAAGCAATTTCATATTCACTCTTAATCATATGCTGCTGACATGGGATGAGACAATTATCTCATGCCCCTCCTTCTCCCCCTGACTTCTGATTGTCCTATTTTTCTAGCGGACTAATAGAAATCAGAGAGCAGGGAGTGTCTGGAAAATCAGTCCAGGAACCTCCATCTTCTTGCTGCAGGCCACTGACAATTCCCAGGGTCCAAGTCAGCCATGCCCTAAGCAGAGCATGAACCAGTGGGAAGCTGCATCTTACACCAGCGCCAGACATGCCCTCCTGAGCTGCGTGCTACGATTTGCTTGAGGGTCCTCTGGAAATCCCAAAGTGGGATTAAAAAGAACCTGATTAGAAAGAACGTTTCTCTGTCTGTGTGAAGGGAATTTATGCCATCCCTCGCTGTATGTGTCAGGGTTGACAGTGCCAGCATTCCCACGGCTTTATGAGATTGCTCCCTGGTGCTGCTGCACGTGCTAAAATGACAAGGACCGACGCGTTGGCTGGGAGGGCAGGACAGGGGCCTGTGGCTGTTACGCTTCTGAACTTAAAATTCACAACCTTTGGATGAACTGGAAATGGCAAGAGATGGACTTTCAAACCTCCCCAGAGCCATGGTCAGGGCAGCATTAGCCCTAGCGAGTGTGTTTCAAGCACCCTTCCACCTCAGGGAGCCTTCCTGAGACGACTCAAGATATGGAGGTGGCGGTGACATGTCTGCCGTAGTGGGACCTGGGAAAGCTGCCTTCCTCCCACGCTGCTTTGTCTCCTGCCTCTTTTGCTCTATGTCACTTGGGATCTGACTGCCTGATGATCAGACTGCAGCGACTGGTGAGAGCTGTTCCCTCCCTACCCTGAGCACAAGAAGAGCAGACGATTTGTGTGAACTATTACCAGGGCTTGGTGCTTCACCTGCACCACTGACTCCGACTTCATGGTCTCCTGACTTTTGTAGGGTGCCCTGCTCTCCAACGCCACTGCACCTCCCCTGCTCCCACTGGTGGCCGAGGTGGTTGCTCCTCTGGACATCTCCAACTCAATCTCAGCATCCATCTCAGCATCCTCCTTGGCCTCCTTGTTGCTCTCCTCCAAGTGCTTCATCAGCACTGCCACCACCACATTGACTAGGACGAACTGTGCGATGAGGACGAAGGTGACGAAGTAGACAGGAGAGATAACAGGCAGGTAACTGAGGCAGTGCTTGTCTTCCCGAGTGCATTCCCGGAGAGTGTCCTGCAACAGAGAGGGAAAGGTGAGGGATTAATAAGGGCTGGGGCTCTGCTTGGGCTTCAAATACAGAAACATCAAAGATAACCTGCTGAGGACTGAAAAGCATATAATTACATATCCCAGACACAAGAGACTGTAGGTACAACTAAAATGGATAGAAGAAAATATGGACACCATGAATTACATGATCTACAAAGAGGAGGATTGTGTTACATCCCAAAGGCACAGGGCACAGAGTACATGGTTACTCCTCTCAGCCACAAGAACCGGCATCATCTTCCTGAAATACTACATACGTGTTAAAAAGAATGAAGTTTCAGGTTGGGCGAGACTTAGGACAAATTATTCCTTGAAAATACAATTAGCTTTGAAATGGGAAGTTTAATTTTGATGTTTTAAAAGGCAACCTTTTTTGTTTTCACCCAAGAGGTGGACACACCTTCATGATACCATTCCAGTTGTCCCCTGTTGACACCCTGAAGAGGGTGAGAAAGGCCATGCCGAAGTTGGTGAAAGTTGCGTGCCGGCTCAGACCTTCACAAGGATTTTCTTCACTGCAGTCTGCAGGAGAGAGAAGCAGAAGCAGGTCAGTGAAGTCATGTTTGCCAGTGCTTATTCAGAATAGCCTCCCCAAACCTGGCAGTGAGACCCTGAACTATGTCACACTGATACATGGCATCAGGGAAGACTGCTAAGTGGTGATATCATGGTGGCCTGCAACGACTGAAGGGCAGCTGCAGAGATCAGGTAGCCAAACTCTTCTCAGTGGAGGCAGATGATGTAACCTACAGCAACACACTGTGGCTTAGGACCAGGTTGGACATTAGGAAAGTTGTTTTCATCTGGAGAGCCCAACAGGCCTGTGGCAAGTCACCAGGGAGGTAGGGGAGCTCTGCCGTTGGAAGTTTTCAAGATTTGGCTAGATAAAGCCACAGCTGCTCTGAGCTAGTGATGGGGCTTCAAGTGGGAGGCTGAGCGGGGGCCTCCAGAGGTCTCTTCCACCAACATTCCTGTGATTCTCTTGACTTTACCCCAACAGGCAGAGCCAACTTAAAGAGATCTAAAAGGGGGAAACAAGTAGATTTGTTTACAAATCTACAGTGTCCTCTTGATTATGTCTTTGTCTTGATTATTTTTTCAAAGGGCACATCTACCATGAGGGATATTTCACTGAGATAAAGTGGAGCAATTTGACGTGTTTTTCCCCTGAGAATTAATATACTAATGAATCTAAATCGAACATATGAAATGTCCCTCTTTCCATACAACACAGGCTCATTAAATATTCATTAGGACAGGCAGCAATGCCTCTTGCAAGAGCATTTCACTATTAGGTATTTATTTCAGAGGCAAATAAGAAGGAAAAACAGAAAAGCAAGTAGAAAAAAACCCCACAAATGACCAGTCTTGGAGAAGCGAGCACTGATGGTTCTTGTGGCTGACATGGACCAGCAATAATTGGGAAAAAGTGAAAGCATTTACCAGTTAAATCAGGATGGGAAGCAGTGTGCTGCTTGCCTGCAGCTTTCCCTGGACAAGATCAGGGCTTTCCCAGTCTCTGACCACATGCTGTGGTTACCTGGGGGCTGGCATTGGCAAGGTGTGTGTGAGTAAACACAAAAAGGATTCAGAGCAGCAGAAGGTGCCTCTCTGAATAAGACATTTTTCACCTTTGTGGCTAAACAAATACATACCTATATATATATATACACACACACACATGTAATGTAAACCCCACAGGATTTCATTTGGGGTGGATGCAGAACTAATTTTTTTCCCCACAATTTGTTGGAGACTGACAAATAATTTGTCTTTGGTTGAAAGAAATATTCTGCTTTCAGGCATTTGTAATCCAAGCAGAGGGCTGGACTCATAAAGGGGATTAATGACAGCCATAAAATCACCAAAGAGGAAGGGCCCTTCTGATGCTCTTGAAGCCCTAATTGGGATGGAAATGTTGAGAAGGCAGACAGATCTCCTTCTAACAGAATGTTTAAAGGCAGTAATTGCTTTGACCTGCCTAATCTGGGCAAGGTAGGGCTATACTGTTTTCTCTTTGACTCCACCTGATTTTTTTTTAGCAGGGGAACCATTCATGATCAGCTCCATGGTATACTCAGGCTGGAGAAATAAATGATGCTGGATAATCAGGAACCAGTGGATGCTTCCCAATTTATGTAGAAAGGGGAAGGTGATGCTGAGAAGAACAACAGACAGACAAGACTTGGGCAGCTGGAGGAGCAATATCCGCCAAGTGCAGAAAACTAATGGAGTGTGGTGGAAGCTCTAAGGAAGGACATGTTTATGGTGGCATCTCTCCAGCACGAATCTGACTACCATCCAGCTTTGCAGACTCATGTACTGTCTTAAGTAGCAAACTTCCATCTTTGTGAACATATCCGTGCTGGACAATTACATTTAAACAGTAAATAGTTCCTCTACAGCCAAGGATGGTGTTGGACAAATCTCTAAATGTGTGTGTGCACGTTAGACAGGTTCTGTATTACATCCTCATGTGTCATCTGTGACCCTGAGATCAAGAGAAAACTTTAATCTTCAGATTGTGAGCTGTGAAGCTAAGGAAGGCCCAAGAATGAGAGAGAAGGAAACAGCTAGATACCAAATAAACATCAACCGGATGAAATAAATTGTCAGGCACATTACTCACCTAGTTTGCCAAACAATTCCACTCCCAGTGCAGCATAGATAAAAAACAGGAGCATAAAAAGTAGGCCAAGGTTCCCTACCTACACAAGGAGAAAGCAGAACAAGGGTCAGGCAAGTTGAGGTCACAAATTAAATTGCTCCATCACATTTTCAACAAAAGCAAAAGAGGAACTGGTGGCCAGAGGCTAATCATCATCTTCCTTGGCTACCCACACCTTGGTCCTCTTTCATGCTTCTGCTTTAACAGACCCAGAGGTCTCCTGTGTTGGGGAAGGAGCAGATGCTCCCACGTGCAAAGCAGTCTCTGTGGCTGGTGCCTCTCCATCGCCCTTCCACGTACCTGGGATGCTGCCTTCATCTGTAGTTTGGCCAACCTGTAGCCGTAACCTCAGCGGCACTTGCGCTGCACTTCAGGGCTTTCAGAAAAGGAACTTATGCTCCAGTAAGATGTAAAGCTCTCCTAGCCTTGCCACTTTTACAGATATTTCTCAACAACAATGACCTGAAGTTTAGCTTTCAATGTCTCAAAGGAAAAGCCTTATTCCATGTGCCATCTCTTAAATGCAGGCACCTTGCAGTTCAAACACTGCATGGTGTGCTACTATTAGGTATTAACATGCACTGCAAGGTGGCTGAAGGGATGGTAATAGATGTGCAATGATGCTAAAAGGAACACAAAAGTTCTTAATAACAATGGCATTATAGTTATCTGTGTGGGGCCATGGAGTTGAAGCCTTTAAAACATTTCAAAGAGCAGATTTTTTGTGATTTGGGCAGAGAACATGAAGGGTAGAGTAACCTGACCAGCTGACCACCTGCATTTCACTTGCAACTCTAGTCACATTTACCTTTCCTGCCACTTGTGTCTATTGGCTTGTAATAGAGATAGAGCGATTGAGTTCCCAATTAGATGTGGTGTCACAAGTATCATTTTATCTCTAAATAAAAATGAACTAGGTGGTGATTCAGGTAGTCAGGGCGGGGGATTCATGACCTCCAAGGTATATTCTAGTGAACTCTTCAGTTTGAGAGTTTTCTTCTCTGAGGCAGCACAGCCACAGTGTTGCTGGGTATTTTGACGATGCTGCTTAATTTCATTAGAAAGGTTATCAGTATGATAACTGTTATCATAAAATTAACACAGCTCTCACTTATGAAGTAGTGGGTTTTTTGTATTAAAGAAATGGGAATAGTCAAATCACCCAGTGGAGACTGTAATTGCTATAAAGCCTAAACCGGCTACTACACATAGAGCTTTGCAATTCCACTAACATTATTACCATACTCCAGGGAATAATAGAGATAATACAGTGATGTGGATGACTGGTCTGGATTATTTCATCTGCATGTACTGTCTCCTGGAATAGTGTTTCCTAACTCATGTCTGCTAGACCACTGATGGTTTGTAAGACATTAGAAGGCAGTCTGCAAAATGACTGCAAATTAGAAAATACAAGAAAACAGGCACACGCACAAATGCGCACATGCACACACACACTGCCAGGGAGGCAAATGAGCAAATAATTAAAGAGAAGGAAAATAAAAGTGATAAACAAGTTTTCTAGGTTGAGTGTAAATTAAAGCCTGATAATGTAGCACTGCAGAAGAGGGTCTTGGAATTTTTTCAAAGCAGCCTATAAGCTGAATATTTTACTGCTATTTTAATGCCTAATAAATCAACCTGGAAACTTCTGGCATTGATGAAATTCCAAAGAATTTAGCCTAACATCAAAGTTATTACCAGGTTATCGGTTAAAACTATTATCTATCTCTCAACATGCAAAGCATGTTATGAGCTAACATTTACTCATAAACAATTTGCCTACTATCTAATGTGCATTTGTAAAAGACTCTGTATTCAAGATCGTGACTAATTACATTACTGAACCAACGTGTCTCATAAGTAGTCCTTCAAAGACCAGTTTACACTCATGGGTTTGCTGTATAGGCTCAAGGCATCCCAGCCATAGGCATACTCTAAAAATGCTAACAGAAGCATGTTTGCTAATGTGGTGTTTGCTGGTGTCTAACGTTGCATTTGCTCTTGGCTGAGAGCAGACACGGGCAGTTCCGAAGCTCAGCTGATGCACAGGTTCTCTTGGGAAGTGACTGAATGTCTGACTGATGTGGAAATGTGGCTACGTGAAAGGGAGATGTGGGAGACAGCAGCAAGTCAAAGATTCTGGGATGGGCGATGGCACGACCTTTACTGTTAAACTCCATCTCAACCTGTATCTAGACATCCATAGCTGCTCTGGAGTGTCAGCTAAAAAGCGGGTTGTTCCCCACGTGCACAAGAACAACCAGCTGCCCTGACCAGCCCCCTGCACATGTAGCATTCGCATGGACATGTGCAGGCAGTTGGTGGCTCATGAGGGTGGAGAGGGCATGAGTTTCTCAGCAGCCCGTGAACACCTGATGCTCAAGAGCAAAATGGCTCACCTCTTGCTTAGGTGCTTCAGTAAAACCACTTGGTCTATTTGTGTAGCTTCTGGCTGAACTGAATCAGTACAAGTCAGTGCCAGATTTAATATTTTGTCAGTGCTAGCCCATGGGTCTCTGGTACATGTTGCTCAGAAAAAAAAGGAAGGTCCTCTTCAGCCCACAGCCTTCACCAAGGCCTGAGGACAGAGAAGGACCCAAGGCATGCTCTCAGAGATGGGCTGAGATGGAAGCAGCGAGGTCAGCCAGCAGCTGCTGAGTAGCAGAGAAGGCAGAACTGGATGTGTATCTGTGACCTTGAGTGAGTCATTCCTCTCCTGTAACTCAACGTACCCTTTTGTAATACCCTTGCGGATAGGTAATTAATGTCTCTAAAGCACTTTGAGATCTACTGAGACCAGACAAGAAAAAGATTGTGCATGAATCATGTTGTTGGGAGGAATGGGATGGGGCAGGAGCATATCCAGGCACTTTTCTCCAGCAGCCAAAGGCTGGGAGGCTTGTTCTGGATTCTGCATCAGGGACAGAGATCCAGCTCTGGTCAGCAACCTCAGCTTTGGCAACCGGTCACCCAGGCAGGCTCTGAGAAGTGGTTCTGCTCTAGCAGCACTGAACAGGTCAGCCCATGCTCTGTTTATCTATCAAACTCCCCCTGACTTGGGCTGGTGCCTTTGGCTGGGCAGAGAAAACTTCAGATAACCCCTCTCTCTGGCAGCCAGGGGCTATTAATCATTTGCTGTGGCTCCAGTGTTGAGGGGAGGCTGTGGCATGTAGGGAGTGAAGCATAGGTGAAGAACATCTTGGAGATGTTCTTGATGCCCTAAAGTACTTGAGAGAAGCCACAAGAAAAGAGTGAGCGGTACCTCACTGGTGAGTATCTGTGATTCCTCTTGGACCTTCACTTTCTGGCATCCTGACTGTCATATACTGCTGGCAAAAGTGTCTGTGTGCCTGGGACAGAGTGATGCTGTGGAGAGAGAAGCAGAGTCCTCCATCCCACTCAGAGGAGCAGGGAGGCCCTGTGTGAGGAGCTACCACCCTTCACCATGGTGCATCCCAGCTGGATCTGTGATCTACCATTGCAAAAGCCCTGGAATAACCCTGCTCAGCAGCAAGGAAAGCAACCCTCCTCTCCGCATACCCAGCAAAACCCTTCTCCCACTGCCCCTACGTGGCCTGGGGAGGCTGCCTCTGCTTTAGCTCTTGTGGACATCACTGCTCTTAGTTTTTTGCCTCCCCCTAAGTGAGACTGCAGTAGCTAAGCACCACTGCACATCCCATCAGTGTTCAACCTCTGACCTATGCCACTAAGTAAAAAGCCCATATCTGCAGGCACTGAGATGCAAAGCAACTGGGCCACGTTGTGTTAGCTGGCTACGCAAATGTGTTGCACTGATCGTGTACAACAGGACACCGACCACCTGTGCACTATCACTTCTTTATTGAACTTTCAGCTGTGTGATCCTACCCAAATCCCTGTAGATCCTGTTGGCCTCTAATCTCTCTTCTCTGGGGGAGGCATTGATGAAATACATGTCTTCTGCTGCCCCACTCCTGCAATGTCTGGCTGAAGCACACTACAGTTCCATTTGTGCCTCTTCCTGCTCTGACATCAATTATTTCTGCATCACTGGCCCACACCTTGGCATTTCAGTTGTCCATGCAGGCAATGCACACAGCTCCCTGGGATGCCTGTCAAGAGCAATTTCTCATAAAACTAAGCTCCTGCCAATCCTTCCCAGGGACATGAGTCCTCCTCATCTTCGTTCCAGCACTCTCCAGCCAAAGCAATAAGCCTGGCAGCAAGACAACACAGGCTAATTTATGCACTAGACCCAAGAGAAAATGGACACATTTGTCTACTTGGAAAATGGAGGCCATCTGTGTGACTTTCAGGACTAGTGGAAAGGGCCAGACAAACAAACTTGGAAGCTAAAGTCATCTCATTGGTGCAACCACAAGGCCACTAGCTGAACTGAACGAGCTCTCCTTTCTGTGTATCCACTCAGCCTCACTGAGACCAGTGCTAACAGCCAGCAGAATGGTGGTTTCTTTACCTAATGATTTCTGCTTCACTACTCAAATGTCTCAGGCATCCCTGCACTTCTTTCCTGTGTGCAGCACTACACACACATACCTATCTTCCAGAATCTGTCTCAGTTGCAACACTTGCTGGTAAGACATTTCTAGTCTTGCTCTCTGAGCTTCACAGTCACTGGTTTTTCAGCGTCTGGCAAAAGCAGGCTATTGTTTATGTCCCATAACTGCTGTTACACAATGCCAGAAAACCTCTTCAAGAGCTGAAGTGGAGATAAGCACAGGAATTACAGCACCACAAGGAGTTAAACTCTGGACAGGAGCAAACTACAAACTCTGTCCTTCAGGGTACTGATAGAACGAGGAGTTCTTCACTTTTTTCTTGGCACAGAGTCCATCTGGGGGGAGTTCCAAGCTTTGAAGACAAAGAGGAGGTATACTGCACAGTTCTGCATTTAATTAATTTGCTGTCCACAGACCAAGTGAGAAAGAAGAAGGAAAAAGAACCCAGATCTTTTGATAGGAAAGTTCCACATTTTACTATTGTTGGCCCTGCGGAGTCAGGATGGCAATTGGACTGGATTCCACTTTGTCCTCTCCACCAGGAAGAGCACTGGCAGCTGAGCATTGACTGCAGGTTTTCTTACTGGCAACTGATGCTAGAAGTGCTTTGCAGACTGAGCTGGGCTGCTCAGTAGGGTGGATTCACTTACACAATGAGCATTTTAACCGAGCCAAACGCAAAGTTACAAATCTGAGAGTGAAGTGCAGGCCATGCTACAGAAAGGCTGAATCGTACTTTGGAAAGCAGGGGATGTGAAAAGGCCTAAAGGATTACCATCGAATCAGAGTCGTACAGAGCAACATTGCTTACAAAACCGATGCAGCCACCAGATGTATAAGCAGGGGAATATTCAGCTGAAGCATAAGAGTGGTGTAATTCATTATATAGCCTTAGTGGGACCAGAGCCCATAAAGAAGAAGAAAACACTTGAAACAGGTCTTGAAAACCTGCTTCATACTGAGAAATTAAAGGAGTTAAATGTTCTTCTGTTTGACAGACTGCAAGAGATTATTTTATCTCTTATTGCTCCAAAAAGGAGAAGTTCTAGAAGAAAAAAAAGCAAAATTACATCCAATGAAAACAAACACGGCTAATTCAGACTAAAAACATCAGATTTTTTTTAGCATCTACTGGAAGAATATATTTCATCAGCAGGGGATGGCCAATTCCCTAACACTTTGCATCCTTTAAGCAAGACCAGGTGGCTTTTAAAGAAGACATGCTGAAGTTCAGTGCAGAGCTGTGTGGCTTGTGTTATGCTAGGAGCAGGCCTCTGCAATCACAGAGGAGTTTTCGGTCTGTGATTGGCAACACTAAACTGACTTAATTAGGACTGGCAATGTCTAAGTGATGAAGTCAGTGCTGGTCATGCTAGCCCAGCTCTTTTTAGCTGCTCAGTTTAAAACAGTGGATCTATTTCAAGTTTGCACCAGTGCAGCTGATTTTAGCACTTTATACTTTAAAGTCCAGGCAGCTTTTCTTTGTTCCCCAAAAGGGTATGCCATGAGGGTACACCTTCAGAGCTGAGGCTGGCAGTACCTTTCTGGGTGACCATGGCTTCACCACAAGTTCAGCTTCTTGGTCAGCCAGCTGTGACGCTGGAAAACTTGGATTCCTGTTTGAGAAGGAGATACTGCCTCAAGACTGCACAGTAGCAGGTAGAAGAGCCAACACTGCTCAAGCAAGATGGCATATGCAGGAACGTGATGATCAACTCACACTATCCCAAACATTTGCTGGGACTGAGAGGGCATGGAGGTGGTAGGCAAAGAAGTTGCCAGTTTGAGAACTTTCCTTGACCATTCTTTCTGTCTTTCTTGCCTCTCCTCATTTGTTCTCCTCTACTTCATCTCATTTTTTTCAGAGACATGGTGGAGGAGAAGATGTCTGAACTGGTAGACACAAGGTTACTGACAAGGAGGATGCAGTAGGATAGGAAGTCTTCCTGTATTGAAAACAGCAGCTCAATGTCAGTCTAAAGTTCCAAAAGAGGAGACTAAGCCTGTACCATGACAGCTTCAATCTTGGATCAAAACACTAACATTCCCCCAAGTCTGGGGATAGTTGGTTCTCTGTGTTGCTCAAGCTGTAACTGCTGCTGAATAAAAATTAATAGGAAGCTCATGAAAATCACCCAAAAGAGAAAAAGTGTACTGCAATGACAATAGCTTGTCATGGTAAGCCCATAAATGGACATTCTACATACACCAGACAAAGAATTTTCCCCCCAAACCTTTATGAATAAACATCAAATTCATTTTTCTTGTCACTTAGCAGTCACATTCAATGAGGATTTTCCAGCTGTGGTTTTAGGCTGCTAAATTAACTGGAGTAGGAACTCTTCCCTTGCCTTTGAAATGAAAGCTGTAGCTTTATGAAGAGTGATTGTTGTCTGAGAGGTCTTCCCAAACTTCCCTTCTCATTTTCTGAATTTCACTGGAGGACAAAATGGTATTTTTATCTGCACAAGATCTCTTGGAATATCCCTGGGGATTTCCCTTTAAAAGAGACTTTGGTTTGAATGTAAACTGTAAAAACACACCAAGGAAACAAAAAGCCTGGCCTGCAGCCACCCTATTGTTTGGGGGGGGAGGAAAAAAAAAAAAAGAGAAAAAATATGCTCTTTAAACCCAATGCTTTCAAAAGAAAAAAAAAAAAAAAAGACACAAATCAAATGCTTTCTTGAAATGCCAAAACAGGGGTCAGGTTGGTAAATTCCATGCTTTAGTCTCAGCCAAAATCCTTCACTGAAAAGGAAATCTGAATACCAAAGGGCAAATGTCTCAGATTAGAAACATCTTTATGGCAGTGATGAAAAGTAAATGGGTCTTTCCAAGAAAAAGAAATTCCCCTTGTTTTCCAGTTAATTTTGAATAGATCATGGGCTCCTTTGTACTTAGCAACTAACTCATAGGGGTATATTTGGGTAATTACATGTACTAATTCTACTGATTCTCATATGGCCACTCATATGCTGGAAGAGATGTCTACAAGGTGTCTGCTTTTGGCCAAGCCACAGTGCTATCATCCTGCCTTTGAGACGCCTTTGTCTCCAGCCCTCTGCAGACAGCTGAAGCTGATCAAGAAGTGACTGCCCACCATAGTGTGCTGCCATCTCCCTGTGCCTAGGGGCTGGGGCTGGGAGAGGGGAGGTCTGACTCTCCCAGTCCATCCCAGAATGGAGTAGGCCCACTCATAAAGCTTGTTCCACCAACTCAGCTGTGGGATGTTTTGGAGGCATTGAAAACTAAGGAGTTGTCTGACCATGCCTGTGCTGCTTCTGAATTGCCAGCTCAGACAAGGAGGCTGCAGAGTTCCTCTGCCTCATTCTTGAAGGTCTGGCACCTCATATTGGTACTCACTTCTGGGTAAAGTGTGGCAGTAAACGTTTCCAGTACTGTCTGGTGGGTTACAGGATCCTGGTGATATATGAAATTGGAATATGTAGGCAGCTGAGATGACTCTAGAGACCGAAAGATTAGGACTCAGACCATCAAACCTACAAACTAGCAGAACACAGCTTAAATAGCATAAGATTTTAAAAACAAAGGAACCCTAAACTTCTTGGAATTCTTCTGATGTGCTTTAGATCTTTTTGAGGGAGGAGTGCAAGTCAGCAAAAAGTTTCTTTCCTTCTCTTTTTTTTCAAATAAATGGATCCATAAAAAAGTGGTACCAGGAACTGAATACTTGAAGGATCCTATCAAATATCATTAAGACTGGCAGCATCATTGTTCCTCTTGCAGTGTATGAGAATACGGTGATTTGACACCCCACATCAAGCTTTTAACACTCAGAAATGTCTCTCCTATTTGCCTTTTAAAGTCTGCACCTCCTCTGTCAATAGGTGTCAATAAACATGGTTGCTCCTGTCTCATAAAGAAAACTCCTGAACTGGAAGCTGTCTACTTCCAATGCTTTCAGCAACAGCTTCCGCTGTCTATCATTGTGTTTTCTGAAGTTTCCAGTGAAATCTGTTTTAGAAGAGCTCTGCCTAGAGCAATTGGCTCTCTGTTAACTCTTTTTCCATCATTCTGGTTCTCCCACACACTATGTGAGCAGGATGTGCCATGCAAAACACTGCTACCAAGGCACTGGTGGCAGTAGAGAAAGCTGATATCCTCCCCAGGTGATGTCTAGTGCCCACCAAACACGGTGGCACAGAGCTGTCCCCAGGCCCAAAAGGCATAGTCCACCAAGAGGAACAAACTAGGCATGGATGAGGTCTGGGGGCTTACCTGGGGAAGCGCTTGTACCACTGTGTCCAGGAGAGCTCGCATCCCGGTGGCCATTTTAAGCAGTTTCAGCACTACAATGAGAATCAAATCCTGGTCAGCAGGGCTGGGAAATATTTCAAGTAAAACCCATAAAGGAAATCTAGCTTCAGGTCTTGTAGGGAGAATTTACATCTCTCTTGCATTTATTCATAGAGATGGCAAGCTCACTGCATCCTGGCAGGGCCCACAGAACGTCTGAACAACCTGACTACTTCCCACACCAAGTAATGTTAAGGACATCAGTAAACCAGACCAAAAGCCAGAAGAACTCCAGCGTACCCTAGCAGGAAAATGGGATAGTGATGGGGAGACACTTTGTCAGTGAAGAGCATCATCTCATGCTCTGATCCTCCCTTCTCCACTGCTTCCTGCTCTTGTCTGGTATCAGTATAAAAGGTCTGTGATCCCAGGTTTGAATTAGAGACCAATCTAAGATGCCACTGGAAACATCCACGAACCCCACCTAGCTTGCCTCTGAATGGACATTTTGGAGCCTCATTGCCTAACTGCTCTCAAGTTGAACTGAAACAGCAGGACTAGAAGAACAAATGGCCAAACCATTTCCTGACATGTCTGGAGGGATGGCTGGAGACCTACAGAGCAGGCCATACCTCTTGCTATCCTCAGCACCCGCATGATGCGTATTATTGTGGGATTGATGGGCAGTGCGGCATTCATCTCAATTTCCTCCAGCGTGATTCCCACAATTGATAAGAGAACTATAGCCAAATCCAGCTGATTCCACCTAACAGACAAAGAGAGGACAAAAAAAAAATCATCCATGGACAGACACCCAAGAGTAGAGAATTATCTGTTAACAGCAAGCACAAGCAAACCCCAAATGCCTCTCCTCTCATATCTGAGCTCATGATCTTCTATGTGGCACAAAATCAACTCACTGCAGCTGGCATGGACAGCCTCTGAGCCACAAGCTGCTGTAAGCTGTGACTGGGAAGTGTCCCTGCCTGCTTCCCAATTCCTATCGTCCCCCTGCTATCCACTCAGAGCCACTCTCAGGGACAAGATACTAGGCTAGAGGGACCTTTGGTGCAATGCAATACAGCTGCTGCCATGTTACGTCACCTGTCTCTTGAATTACTCCAGTTGAGTATCTTCATTGATTTACAGCCTAACACTTGTAGACGGCCTTTCACAGCAGCACTAGAAAGACATTAAGATGTGAAGAAACTGTCTTTCCTATGCAATTTCCCTCCTAAGTAATATTGCTCATAGCAGCTTCCAACCACTCAGTCAGGATAAATGAGGTGAACAAGCTGGTTTTGTGGAAAAGTCTCCAATCGTACCCTGCTCCCCAGCAAATTGCCAGACCACAATGTGCTCTCACGCATATTTGCTTTTGGCTAAATGTGAGGCAGAATAACATGTGTAGGTCTCTGCAGCTGGGATCTGAAGGCAGTGGGGCTGAACACAACTACCGCTGTCTTTGCCAAAGGCTTTACAAAGTCAGCAGTCTACCAAAGGACTGGTTTGGACTGCAAAGGATACTGGTTCTGAGGGACTCTGTGACCTTAGGTTGCCAAAACTACTCTTTTGAGGACTGGATTGATGCCAGCAGGTTGCTTCTGACCTCTAAGCTGAGCCGGTCAGACCTGGAGGAGAGACAGATACTAGGTGGATGTATCTGGAATTTTGTAAGATTTCCTGAATTCCCTCTGCAAAGCAGTACCAGCAGTTCTCAGAATTTTTAGTTCCTACACTATAAAGTTTGCACCCACGGAGAGACAGCCCTTTTCTATTCCTTGCACACAGCATGTAGTACTATCATAGTGATGCTACATTTACCCAGCATCTGGCTTTGAAACTGGGTCAATACAGCTCTATCCCAAATACACAGGAGTTTAAAATACTCTCACCTGTCCTTAAAGAACCTTCGAAAACCAAATGCCACCAACTTCAGAACTGCCTCGAACACAAAAACTATGGTGAACACATAGTTGCAGTACTTCAGGGCTTCATCCAGGGACTGAAAAGAGAGATACCAGTTAAACCAGCCCAAGCTATCCTTTCCTAGAGCCCCTGCAGAGGGACCGGCAGGCACAAGGGTGGCATAGGCACAGAGATGTAAAAAGTAAAGTCATAATGGCTTGCAGAGCTCAGTTACAAAGCTGCACTAAATCACACAGCAAAACTCAAACAAAGGATTAGACACTGATGCAAACAAAAACCTCATAAGCACTGATACTAGTTGTGCTAAAAATGACAAGAGCTATCAATCCTCCAACTTCAATGTATAAATTGTTCAGAGTCTGGGACAGAGAGAAAATTTTACCCCTTCCCCTAATAAAGTTTACTTCTTCTGAACTGCCTATCCTTGCATAGAATAAAAGACTTGATAGATCATTTCTTTAGTCCAGCATGGCAATCCTTAGGACAACGGTTTTGCTTAAAACACTCAGGAAAATAAATAATGTTGGAGACGGATTAAATCTTGCCTTCTTGAAAAATGTTACATCTCTAGAGCTGGGCAAAGTATGTCCATATTTGGTGCAATGTTCACGCTCTCTATAGAGCTGCTCTCGGAAGTCAGGAATCCGCAGTGTTTATACTTTAAGATGATGAGTGGTTATAATGGATTTCATTGAAACTGTAGGCCAACAATAGCAAAAGAATCTTGCTGGGACCTTAAAATAGATAGTTGCGTAGTGAAACGGCTCTTTGGTTGGGTAGGGATTTGAGGAGAGGAGGGAGGGAAGGGGAATTTTGTTAAATGTAGTATTGGTGTCTTACAATAACAAAATGACAACAATGAACATCAAAACAGACACAATTGGAAATAAAATGCAATAGGGGAATCTGCAAAGCAATGTCTGCTTTGTTGACAGAGGAAACCTCAGGCCACAGGAAAGCCTTCATCGTCACATTTGTGTGATGACTGTGCTTTGCTGACCCCAGACATGTGGGATGACCATGCACTGATTTTTTTTGAGAACAAGAGGTGAAAGTTTTTCAGATGTTGGCATTCCTCAATGCATTACTATCCCTATTTTTGTTCCAGTGCCTAAAATAAAATGGCAGCTTAGAAGAATGTGGGACAATTTACTATTTCATCTGAAGCACGTTGCCTGAGCCTGAATTCTCATATAATTTGTGATGGTTTGCATTCAGATTTACAACACTGTGTTTTACATGAACATAAAACAAGTATAAACAAGACCTAATCTGGATAAATAACATTTACATGCGAAACAATGGCTGTTATGCAAAGGAATTATGGGGGCAGAACAGCACACAGTCAGCTGGCGTAAAACACACAGGCGTTATCCTGTGGCTTGGTGCCCCTCTGGCTTAGCTTCCAGGAGGCATTTACAGGTTACCCAGCAGACCATGGAAGACTAGAAAAGTAAACACTGAGCCTAGAGCTCTGTGAATGATAATGTGATAGAAGGTTAATATATGCGGCAAATGGACAGGCTATATGATTTATGCCAAAGGTTTACTTGGGAAAGAAAAATTTTATGATACATAAAGAAAAGAAGGGTTGTACTTAAGAGTCAGTTTATTCTAAATTCATTGAGGAAAAGAAACATTGCTCTGCATGTGTTAACTTCATCTTTATATCTGTTAATGGAATATTCTGAAACTCTGGACTGTTTTACAGTCTGAGGGTCAGTCACATCTGGGATCAGGAGAGGAAATATTTGGACTGGTCTTTTCCTAGTAAAAGTTTAGCTCACTCTCCATTAGCCTTATTCTCTGCTTTATGCAAGAGCAGGGAAATCAAACTTTTGGCTGGGGCAAGTGACTCCCAAGTGGTAGAGCTGGCCTAGGGTTAGACAGATTGCAATGCTGAGCCTGGAGCCTGCTGAGGCTTTCAAACACCAGGGAATGTTTCCAGGGAAGCAGGGCTGCCTGGAGACCTCACTGGTCAATGGTATCCCAAGGGAACAGTGTGTGGTCCTCAGGTCTGCTGCTACTCCACACTGCTGTGTTTCACAGCCCACACATTGATGGGTGACTCTTACCTTTGGCTGGTTGTAGTGCTCCATTGACATAGTGATGACGTTGACCCCAATGATGAACGTAATGAAAAGGTCAAGATAGTGGCTGGTGCAGAGGGTGTGAATGTACTTCCGTGCTGGGGAATAGTCAGCGTAGTAAGGCCTGCGTTGGGCTTCTGTAGAAAAAAAGAAAGAAAGGCAACACAGTGAACGCAGGCCCTGCTGCATGGTTGGCAACCATCACAATGTGGCCTGCAGGCTCAGATTCAGTATGTGGGAGAACTGATTCAAGCAAGCCACATGAAATGGCCAAATGCTTCTACCTAGAACCTTCAAGAACCATAGTGGGATTATCAGGCTGAGCCAAACCTCTTGTGCCTGCAGGAGGGACCTCCACAGCTTTGACAACCAGGTCCGTTTTTCTCCTAAGTGCTCTCTGTCCTTACTGCTCTCTCTCTCAGGCTCAGAGGACAACCTTTTCACTTAATGGGACCCTTGTCACAAACCATGAAGGGTGAGAAGCAGGATGGAAATGAGACCCAAAGCCAAGAGAAAAGCTTGAAATCCAGCAAAGATTCAACTCCAGTTTAGAGGAAGGGCCGAGAGCAGGTCCCATCAGACTGGACTCTGATATGCATCTCTCCTAATCCCACTGATTTCAGGCACGTTCCACATAAGTAAGAAAAGAACATAACCTGAGCTCAGCTTCTGTAGGAGAAGGCTTTTGGTGTATTTTAAAGGTCTAAAGAAAACATAGCAATGCCTGTGGCAAAGAAGGACACATGCGTGAGGGTTAGCAGCACACAGGACAGCATCAACAGCAATGGAGCGGGGTGCTCAGCATTTTTCTTGACAAAGACTGTCAGCATAAGCTCCTCTGGAAATGTAAGAACAAGGGCATGGTTGCACCTAAAACACCCCTCAGGCTACGACCACATGAATTTTCTATCTCTGCCTCTGGTTGTGACTCCTTCTTTCTTCTCTTTGAAATGCGGAAATTTCTGCACATGACCAAGTTCCCGGAGCTGTTCCAAGCAGAGTGTTTGGACACTGCCCTGAGCCCGAGTTGTATTTACTGCGTGTGTCTCTTAAATTAGACAGTGACCACAAGATGGCTGTGGGCACTCGGATGGAGTTGAATTCTTTTCATACTAAGTCAGAGCAGGATTGTTCTTAATAGAGAGGGATTTTTTTCCAAATGTTTCAGCAAATTCAGGTTTAAATGCATGAGGAGCTGGGAAGAAGAAGTTGCTTCACCTTAAAAATAAGGGGGGAAATAGGTTGAAAAGTATTCAGTGACCCCCTGAAATACATTTTCCACTCCTCTCATCCTGCTAATGTCTTTCAGATTGAGTGACTCTTGAAATGTGGGTTGGTTTTTTTTGGTAGTGCAACTGATGCCAGATTACAGTCCAAAACCCTAAAACAAATTGGATAAAGGGAAACTGACTCTGCTGTTTTTTTCTGGTAGTTAAAAGTGGAGTGGAGGCATTTGAAAAAAAATTCCTTCTATCTGAGGTCATCTGGACTTATTTTTTCTGTTAGTGGGTGTGGAAAAACAAGATGAAAGCAAACGCAATTGTTTTTGAATACATTTTTCTGTTACTTTCATGTGCCTTAGTCCTACCAGTCATCTTGGACTGGTAGGGCTGTCTTTGTTACTGAGCTCGGCTAATCTTCCGGTGTGTCAAAAAAATAATAATAACAACATTGCAATATAATACAACGTGCTTTCATGTGTATTCAGGATTACGACATACTTTTTCTTTTTCTTCTTTTTGGAAATGTCTTCTTGGGAATGCAAAAAGTCAGCTTGTTGGGAGGTCCAAGAACACCCCAAATAGTCAAACTTTATATTAAGGGACTGTTTATTAATGACTAATGGTTGATTAATGGATCTCAGAAGAACATTAGCAGTGATGGGCAGTGTGTGAACACACTGGCTAGCAGCACATAAGGAAAACAGGCTGTAGGTGACTGCAACTACTCTCTGACCTGCCCAAATGCAGCCATTGATTAACTATACAGCAAAAGATCAGGTGTTTATTAAGTTTTATAAACTATTTATATAATTCTGAAGCACAATCACAAGAAGACACTTTCCAGTGTAAAGCCACTGAACAGAAAACCTCCTAGGCTGCCTGACAGCAACGCAGCTTGCTCTTCACATGGGCTGGATATACCAACAGTAAGGAGGAACCACCCAGCCATAAAGGTGGGTCTGATTATTGTATGAAAGGGTCTCAGAGGTCTGTGTCTGTAACTCTGCCAGTGCTCAGTGCTGGCTATGCCTGGTCAACTGGTTGCTCAGAAAACTTGGGATAGGCTTAACTCGATCTGAGATGAGGGAGCTCTAGGAAATGCCTTACTCATTTAGGATGCACTGCATCCCTGAAGCCAGGTTAACAGATGAAAAAGAAACTTCTCCTGAGGACACACATACAAGGACAGTCTCGAATAAACTTGACAACACTTTGAAACACATGCAACAACTGTCATGCTCAGTGCAGAAACCCATGCAATGTCCATTAGAGGAGATACCGCTCATGCAAGGCTAACGGTAGTGAGCATGGGTATGCAGGAAGGACAGACCAGCTTCTGCTCTCGGCAATGCTGGTGTTAGGCTCGGGCAATCCTGTGAAGGCAGAGAGGTTGCAGCAGGGTGAAAGCAGCGAGAGATCAGCCACACAGCTTCACTGCAGCTCTGACCCGCTCTGCTGGGTCACCGTTCATTCCCAGTCCCTTTAGGAACAAGAGCTTTACTTCAGTCAACAGGACAGCACGTGGCTCTGGTCTCCTTTCAGTTCAGACACACTTTTTTACATCTCAGTGAGAATATACTATGTTATTCTCCCCAGTTTGGGTGTAAGTGTTCACTGCACGCCTACTGCTACAGCCTGCTCAACCAGTGATGTGGGCTCTGCAGGAGAACCTGTATGAGAGAGTGGACCATGGGGATGTGGGCACAGCAAACAGGGGAGATCTAATGCATCACTAATTACAGTAGGCAAAATGCAACCTGCGCCTGGTTTCTCCAGGGAAATGGCTTCTGGGATGAGACTCCAATCAGCCAACTAGCAGACTTATATCAAAGACAAGTATCCCTTCAGCTGCAGCTGATGTTTGAATTGGTGGAAATGCAGGAGGGAAAGGAGAAATCATCAAACATATGTGAAAGGAAAACCACAGTCCTTTCCCAACCCCACTTCTAGATGTTCGCTAATCTCACCTCTCCGCAGAGTATTTAAACTTCTTTGCTTGTGATTCTGCTGACATGAAAATTAATGAAGCACTGTCTCCTAGCTTAAAAGCATTTAGGTTGGCATTACAATTGCTAGCTACAGCTCCTCCATTATTCTCCTCTGCATGAAACATTAGAAAGCCCTAATGGGTTTATATGCATGCTTGGCACAGAGTAGCTCCATACCTGCAGCTGCCTGGAAAAATAAGCAAGATGGTTTGATAATTCCCTAGTTGGAAATACTAAACACTCAGATATGCAGTGCCCAAAATTTTAGTTACAGCTCAAATGTTTCTGCTGGATACAGAGATGGTTGTGGCACTGAGAGGATGGACTAATTTAAACACCACCGTGTGCTGCCCACGATTGCTCACCCCTAGAGAGAAAGGCTTACAGTCAGCGCTCTGAAAGGCATCTCTGCTGGGTCTTAAAACAAAACTGGCCTCTTCCTTCTACAATGCCCACACATTCAGCTCCGTGTTGGGAAATGCCTCAGAGAAACACAGCTGTGGCCACGCTCCTCTTGTATAGAGTGGAAATCAGGAAAAAAACATTTGCCTTTTCTCAGTTCTCAGTTTTTGTGGTCTTCCCAGGGACCAGTGACTCGATGACACTACTGAAAGGCACTCTCTGCTCCTCAGCTAGGGCCTCCCCCGGGCTGTGTCAGGCACTTCCAGCTTTTCCAGCATTGCCTGCACTGCTTTCGGCACACATTGTCACCCAGACTCCGCTTGTAGCCTTTGAAGCCCAGGGTACTGCCTGTGTTTGACCTGACATTGTGCTCTGCTCAGCAGGCCAGCGGCTGCTGGCTTCACAGTAGATACAGGTCGGTTGGATTTGGCCCCGTATCCTGAATCCAGAGGAGATCAAGCCGATCCATGTGGTTTTAATCAAAAACTTTAATCTGGGGAAGCTGGTTTCAGTCTGTGTCTTCTGAGAACCTCATTAAAATGTTAGGAGCTGCAGGATTATTAAATTACACTACACTTATGTACATAGAAGATATTGTGGATGGAGGCAGTGACTGTGTCAGAAAAATATTCTAGTTTATCTTGAATTTTTACCTTCACATGAAAAAGTATGCTGTGCAGTTCTGCCTTTAAAACCACATCAAATGCATTTCTACGGTGTATTCAACCCCCCGCCCTCCTTTCTCACGTGAGCGGAGTTAAATGCCAAAGCCAGTGCCTTCTTTCAGTGCTGAGTTTATTGCAGCCTGGTCGTGAAGGCTGGGCCCTGCGGCCACTGCTGCTTCATGGCAGCAGTGCCTTGCTGACATGTTGGGTCCATCAGCTCTGTTGCCGGTGCCTCGAGGGATGCTTGCCACCGGAGCAGAGAGAGTCAAGGCATGCTGACAAGGGGCATGGGGTCTCATCCTGTCCCAATCCCTTCATGAAAGCGGCCTTCAGATGGGAAACAAGAATCTTTATGGGAAGGTCTGAGGTGGTGTCTGACAGCAGAGATGTGGGCTGAGAGGGACCTTCCTGCCTGGCTCCTGGAAGACCTGAGAAGTACCCCCAAAACAGACACGTGATGATTCCCCATCCCACCTGCATGGGGTCTGATGAAGGAGGTGTGTCCTGCTGCAGGGCTGTGTCCTCCACGGAGCAAGCCCTCTGCCAAGCTCATAGCTCTGCACACAGGGTCCAAATCCTGGTCCCAGCCTGCAGAGCCTGGGATTCGTACCCAGGGCCTGCCTGGATGGGACTGTCCAGGCACTGATAAGCTGAGGCTTAACCCATTTCCAGGCCTGAGCCCAAGGCTACTATGGCTCAATGCTGCGTTTCTGTGTCTGTCGGTACCTACAGATGCCCAAAGACCTCAAAACACAGAAACACATGCAGGGTTGCTACACACAGAGGACATTACAGACAGGAGATAGGACACAAAGACAAGATGCTAGGCAGACAGGGCAAGTCCAGACGGACGGGTGTTGCTCAGATAGTACATCTGTTAGCTATGCTGGGTTTTACTCTTGGTAACAGTCCTAATTCTTCCTCCCCTTATGATATCTTCAGGCCAAATGCTAGAAATGGCAACTGAAGTAAAAGCAGGGCTTTCTGCTAGGCTTCCCAATGTAGGCTCCTTGCTCCTCTGCAGGATCACTGGTCTCCTGTGCCCATCCTGTCCCATGGGGACTGGCGTCTTGATCCTCCGTATGGGTGAGACACACAGCACTGGGGCACGTGGAAACCTGGCCAGCCCGCTGCCACTGTGCAGCATCCCGTGTCTGCACGTGCACACAGACACCCCCCCACAGAGAATCCGCCATGCACGGCACCAACCACATCTCACATCTTTCTGAGTCTGCCACATTTTTCATTTTTTCAAATCCATCATCTTCTAAATTACCCCAGAGGTAAAAAACTCCTCCCATTTCAATTAAAAAAATCCATTCAAATGTAAATAGTAATATTCCAAAATGTGTATCAGATATTTGATTTCAACTTGTTAACAACTCAAATTTGGATGCCGAGCTTTCCATGCTGAACAGAGGCAGGTAGGAGACCTCAGAGCTGGAAGATCTGAGGTAACCTCCTGGAAGCCCAGCACATGGCCAAATGTTTAGCCTCTCAGTTGCTATATTGGACTTGAAAGCTGTCCTCCTCCGTGTGCGTTCTCAGTGAAATGTTACAACCCACATCTGTCCAATGCCTGGGTTTGTGGTCTGAAATATCTCCTTGACCCTATCCTTCGAGATAGCTGGATAACGAGGGGCAATGTAACAGTGTTCATCACTTTGACAGGGACTGGCTCTTTTTGGTGTCTAAGCAGTGAGCCACAGATAGGCTTGTAATAAGATTTACTTACTAATCAGGAACAGCAACTGGCTGTGGTTAAGTTATCTCTCCTTACATGTGCCCTAGTCTATTTTCTCTAAGGATGCTTAATGTTCTTTGTAAATAAGCATTTTTTTCCCTCCCCTCTCCCAAACTTTGAGTGTATCTGAATGTCTTCTTGGGCCAGCACATTGGGGTAGAAATACTGCACAAGCAGGAGGACTCTTGAGAGCCTGAAACTGATTTTCATTATCGTGCTGGTAATGCTGCCTTCAAGATTTCCACTTCTAATCTTAGCTAGAACCTCAAACTCAAAAACCAAAATGGGAAAAGGGAAATGAAATTGCATTTGAACTCCTCTGAATGTCTGGAGAGATTCAAAGTCTGTTTGCAGCTGGCTAGTTTGATCTAGATTTCATTTTAACCCAGCTACTTAACTCACAACTAGCTAGAATGAAATGAGCTTGGCTTTCACTGTAGTGTCATGTCAGTCTGTCATTAAGGTCCTGAGGAGACCATGGTGCAGACATTTAGTTCTGAGGTCTCCTATGGCTCTAATAAAGAGGACCACTAAAGCAGGAGACGAGCTGCAAGGGGTAGAGCTGCCGGCCTTCTGACTCAAGCCTGGATGGACGAAGGAAATTTGTGGGGATTTCTACTAGCAAAGCCTCTGACTGCTCTGTTCTTAGAGCCAGGCAAAAGACTATGTGATCTAACTGCAGTTTTCCCAGCAGAAAATGGATACTTATGGCTTGATGCATGGGAGACACCTAGCCATTTGTCACAATGAGCTATTAGGTCCTCACAGGAGCTTACACAGGGCAGCACAGTGCTAGGCAAAGAGACACAGGGCTGCTGCGGCAAGCAGGGCCAGAAGCACTCAAGCCCTACCCCTGACTAAGCTCATCTTTGATCACAGTGGCCAAGCCATGTTCCCTCACTTCTAAAAAATGCTTGCCAGCACCTAATGCAGGCTATCCCTGTTCACTAAATTTGGCTGGGAAGTCAGTGCGGCTAGTTTCCTGGCAGTTGCCCTGGGAAAACCCACCAGACGCTATAACCAGCTTGTCCCTGGTGGAGCCTGCCAAGGAGCAGTAGAGGTGAGAATACATACATGAGAACCCCTGGGGAGTTTTGGGTTAGGAAAGGAGCACAAGCTCAGGTGTTTTTCTGGTCTGGTTTGATCATCCCCACTAGATTCACTAAGAAGCAGATTTCAGCTAAAGGTCTTCTCTTAGACCCTAATGGCCCTGCATCTGGCCAGTATTTCCATGTCAACTGCTTGCAAGGACAAACTGAGTCCCTGCACATTGCTCAGCAGTGAAGCGCTCCCTCAGCCTGCAATGGGGCAAGCATCTCTTGTAATGGACATCTTCCAGAGAAGAATTTTCTGGACAGCCCCATCTTGGGGCTCCATTCCTCTCCCCAGGGCTGTCAGTTTGTTCATGCCCTCATGCAGCATGTTTGTGGCATGCGGGGCCATGCGCTAGGACTCTAAAAAGCATCACAATTATTTTCTTTTAGAAAAGAATCAATAAATCAAACCACCACCATCATCAGATGCAAGCGGCACATTAAGCCACAGGGCTACCCTCGGGACTGGCCTTCACGCACAGGAAGCATTGCAGCTGTTTACTCACTGCATCCCTCATCATACCGCAAGCTCCCGCTTGGTGCTTGGGACACCTTTGCCTTGTAGAGCGTGATAGAGGACTCTGCTTGGAAGAGGATATCCTCCCCTTCCAAGCAAATAGGTAATGCTTTACATCAGGCTTGTAGAGGACAATTCCAGGGTGTTGGCAACCCTAGACTTAAGGTACCGCCAAAGAGGTAACGAAGCAAAACAGCCTCTTGAATCCCATGGAAACAAAACCAAAGGAAAATGAAAGTCTTGCTTTGGGAGCAGGCAGGGCTCAGAAAGATTTTGGTTTGTAATGCAGTCTACCGACCAGACAGGTATATCTCCTTACTCCTGCGCTTTTTCTCCAAGCGTCTCAGCCGCTTCTCCTCCCGACGCCGGGCCTCTTCCGCCTCCTGGTGCTGTCGACACTTGTGAAAGTTCTCCACCACCACCCCCACAAACATGTTGAGCACGAAGAAGCTGACGATGAGCAGGAAGGAGATGAAGTAGAGAAGCATCCAAGGGTTATGGTTCTGGATGGGCTGGTGAGGTGGGGAATTAAAAAACGAGAGAAGAGAAGCAGCATAGACAAGATGTGTATAAGTCAGGATATTGGGCGCTCTGTAGCAACAAGACAGCACAGTACATTTTTGTGGGGAGGAGGAGAGGGCTGCGAGGAGTTAAGATTTTTTCCAAAACAGTTTCCTCTCATTCACTTTCTCACCAATTACAATTTTACTTCTGTGGTAAAACTCATCCTAGTCTCCATAAGTTGGCTTACAGGATTTAATTATTTCAGCATTTATTTCATACAGCTTGAGATAAATCTCAGTGCATGTGCATCATCCCAGCTGCAAGATCATTTTAGTTAAAGATAGGCTCCAGCTTATTCTTTTTTATGAGATGTGGGCTCTTGGTTAACGTTTCTCAGTTGTTATGAGACCTTCAGCAGCAGGGGAAAATTAAGTGCAAAGTGTTACTGTAGCTATGACGGGGTACTACTGATCTAAGACTCTTGACCTTCCTTTGCAAATGCCATATAACACACAAACTTAAAGTCTCTTTCACAACATTCCTGGTTGTTTTCCCTCTTGTGTGAGTTTGCTCTTACTCATCATGCCTCCCATGTTCCAATTAAAAACCCCATCAGTGCTTGTTTGTGTGCTACATGGGGCACAGCCACTGTAAAAGCTACTTAGTGGGGAATGAAAAACTTTGAGGTTTTCTCAAAACAATGGGCAGTCAGGGCCTTGAGAAAGTCCTATAGCTCTGCTCCTTCCTGGGACTTCATAAACACCAGAGTCACCCAGGTACGAGACTTCTGAGAGCAACACATCTGGACTCTGCAGTACATTTACCTGCTGGTCAATACCCACGGCATCCAAACCATCATACATGATGTTCACCCAGCCATCTTTGGAGGAGAGGACAAACAAGGACATGAGGGCCTATAAAACAAACAGAAAAGTTTGGTCTTTCATTTTAGTCCCCAGTAAAGAAACTAACAACAGACAACGCTCAGCAAAACCACAGCTCATAACACATCATCTGGCCTGGAGCTGGTGGAGAAATGCAACATATTGTGGCTTGCTTTTACCTATGTCCATATCTGGCTTAAAAGTGAGCAAACTGTGGTCATTAATGCTCTTTTTTCCTCACATATAGGCTGACTTTTGCTCAGATACATCAGGCTTTCTGATCACCAAAGCATGATTAAAAAATCAGGATGTCAGGCTGGCCCAATGTCATGGGGTTTTAAAAAGCAGTAATATATCCCAGCTCCTACTATGGGCTGTCTTGCTTTTCAGCAAATATAAAGCACCTTGGTTTTTTCATTTGCAAACATAACAGCTAGAACTCAAGAGACTAAAAGTGACAGTTGAGGTCCATACATGAGGGACTGCATGCAAAACCCATGGCTTTAAGACAACACTCTCCTATAAACAAAGAACTGTATAACCCTAGGAAGTCTGGCTGCAAGAGATCAAGAGGTAACCTGATCCATTTTTACCTAGTTAGGGTTGCTTCTGATAGATGAATGCCTACATCGTTCGTGGAAATTTCCTATGACAGCGGTTCCACACCCTCCTCAAGGAATACATTTTAAGTGCTCATCCATTAAAAACTGGTATAGAAATTCCCTGCAATGAGGACTTTACCTGTCCTAAATTGTCAAAATTGTACTTCCGCCGAACCCATTTGTAGTGTGCGTTAGTGCAGTCAGTCTTCGTAGTGATGTTTTTTATATCAGGACCGTCACAATAGTAGAACTTGCCTTTAAAAAGCTGTATTTGAGAAGCAACGACAAAAAAAAACCAAAAAATGAAGCAGCTTTGAAAAGTCTATCACCTGATTTATCTTTCTTTCCCCTAGCAGAGTTGTTCGCCAAGTTCAAATTCCTTTCCTTTCCTTCCAGCTCAGATACCTGTCTTAACACACTTGGCAGGAAAACACCTCTGGTGAAACTTCAGGCCCTGAGACATTGTTGTGTATTGCCTCAGACACAGAAGGGTGATCCTGCAGGCCTGCCCTGTCTTGTTGGGAGGATGACAATCTCCCCTCTGAGGAAGAGATATTATATACATCCCAGCACAGAGAGCCGGGAGAGATCTTGGGAATTTGTCTTTTCCTTCCCCTACTCTCAGGCAGGCTTAGCTGGTGCTGTGGTGTTCATCAGGGAGGTCTGCTCTTCTAATCCTGAGAACCTTCCAATGAGCAGATGCCAACCTCACGCTGGAGCATTTCTTCTAGGGCCTGGCTCTTCTTTCCTAACACCTAATCTCTTCATTTGGAGAGATTTAAGCTCATTACTTCCACCTTAACCCCAGGTGGTGAGAAAAATAGCTTCTCTTTTGCAGCAGTCACTTATAGATGGCCATGGTGAGGGAAATACTCTACCTGGACCCCTAAAATCCCAAAGATTATGAAGAAAGCACAGCAGATGAGAACAATATTCCCAATAGGCCTCAAGGAGGAGATCAAGGTTTCCACCACCAGCTTCAGACCTGGGGCTCTGCTGATGACTCTGGAAAACATGGCAAAACAATAAAGCTTTTATTTTTTTATGCATGCCCTGTTATTATATGGTTGCTTTTCCTCCTCTGCTTAGGCTGCAGTAAAGCTAACACAATCCTCCTCTACCTGCAGGCAGCAGAGGCGATTAGTGACTTATTTGGACAACCAGAACATTCACAGTCACATTAGATGGAATTAAAAAAGTGCAAGACACCCTGTCAGCACAGTGTCGGGCAATTGCTTACTAACAGTGAGGAAGGAATACTCTTTTTGGGCAGAATATCACAGAGGTTCCCACTATGGGGCTATTTGTAACTCAGTCCAGAGACCTGATCCCCTGTGAGGTCTCTCTCATCCAAGCAGAGGGGCACACACCAAGCAGGAGCCTGGTTCCTAACACAGCGTGTGAACAGCTTCACAGTGGTACTAGAGAGCATGTTTTGTCCTCTTTCTACAGGCATAAGTGCTCACCTGCCCTAGTGGCCTGGGCCCCATGACAACTTTTCAAACAAAGTAATTTCAATATGTTCCCTAATTAGTTCCTGAACTGACTCTGAGCTAACAGGAACTTGTGATCTACAGCTCCACAGCCAAAGGGTCATCCCATTAAAGAGCAGCTTGCTTGCTTGCTGTGAGGCCCTGAGAGGCCAGGCAGGCTCTGAGCACAGCGTGAAGCAGCTTTTGGGTATTATGGAGACAAAATGCTTTCCCTTCCTGTATGAGTGCCTGGAGAACAGCTCTCCCATGGGCATGTGAAAAATGTGTTTGCACACATAAGTGTAACTACCCCAAGCAAGCTTTTCTGGGAAGGTGGATGTTTTGACTGAAGAACATCAAAGTTTTTTTTAGGAGGGGCCTGTAGAGGGGAGAGGGGATGAGTCCTTGCAGGTAGCTTGAGCTTGCATGGCTAACAATGCTTTCATGCCTGCCAAACACAGAAAAGAGGAGAGTTGTATGCTGCAGGGACAAAGTTTTTCAATAGAGCCTTGTTTGGCAGCAAATAATGTGGCAGTCTGAACTGCACCTATAAAGTGTTAGGAATGGTCCCTGGAGTAATCCTAGAAGAGGCTGTGATAAGTGAAGCCGTTGTGAGAGGTGATGAATTCCTCTCTATTAATAGGATCTGGCCTAGTTATTCTCCGAGACCAATTCCCTTTTTTCCCCTTACATTTACTTATGAACTGCCTCTGCCCTGATTTCTGTTCCTAGTTATGTGTGTTAGACAGGCACCTGGTGAGCCACCACTGCAAGGGGACCCCGATGCCACCAGCAGAACAGAGCATGGAAGCAAGAGAGGAGACAGAAACACAAAGTTACTTGTCACTAAGGAAATACAGAGCAGCAGACAAATAGCTGTTGTTCCTGTGGTCATGGGTCTAAACAAGATTGCCTCTTCCTATTACTCTCATAAGCAAGCAGCTTTTCATCAGAAAGCCTACAGGTCTCAGGAGGTGCCTATCTTATTTCCCCTGAAATTTCATGAAAAAAGGCTTGTGTTTCTTGCCAAGCAGGATGGAAATAGAACAGAAGCCGTGAGCTGATAAAAATCCCCCAAGCATTAACACTCTTTGTTATTGCATAATCGTAAACAAAATACAAATTCTCTTTATTCCTTTTCTCACATAGTGAAAGCGTCTCCCCTTGCTCTTCCTAGCTGAGAGCTAAATTGTTTTGCAGTAGTGTTAGATATGCAGGCACAGGAGAGCAGGTATAGATGCTGGAGCTTATCAAATTATTGTCAGCACCTGTTCAATTGCAAATTTTCTCCCAGCCAACGCGACCTCTTTGCTCGGGAATGACTGTGAGGTTGTGCAGTTTAACAAGGAGCCAGACTGATTTGTAAAACGGTGATAAAAATGCAGCGTGGAGGAGGCATTCTCTGCACTAACTGCCAGAGTATGATAACACCTCTCAATCCAAACTCAATCCGCTCTTTTCCATGCTGGCAAAGATGAATTATATTATAGCTAATTTCATTTTTTTCAAACAGTTTCACTAGATAAGAGCTCCCCAAAGATGATTCTACCCATACTGTGTTTCAGCTTTTTGTGTTATTAAGCAAGACCTTGACAGATCACGTGCATTTTTTTTTCAAACTCCTTGATCTATCAACACAAAGCAAACTCAGCCACCTTATTGGTGAACGTACCGGAGAGGTCTCAAGGTCCGTAGAAGTCTCAAAACGCGAAGGACACCCAGGATCTTAGCTCCGCCTGCTGATGCCATGGAGACAATAATGTCAATGATAGATACAAAGACCAGGACTCCATCCAGGACGTTCCAGCTGCTCTGCAGATAGGTGTTCTCCCCAGAGAAAAAGCCAAGAGCTACCACCTACAGCCAGGAGAAGAGACACATTTAAATCTTCACCTAGATCGTAACTATGTCATGTTCTGGTCTTTGCCAGGCCTCACTATGGGCCATGGGTTGAAGATGTAATTACCTTAACCATCATTTCAGCTACAAAGATTGCAGTGAAGATGTAATTAGAAACACTTAGGAATACCCTTTCCTGTAAAACATAGAACAACAAAAAGAGGCAAGTTATTTAAAGACATTAAAAAACACACATCTTTCATCTTGCAGGGTCTTGCCCTGACAAGGCGAAGATCTGGATGCTGCATCAAGGAAGACCATGACTCAGGTACTCACCGTGCTGTGTGGGTCTATGTCTGGTCGCTCCAGTGCTATAGTGATGCAGTTCAGAAATATGAAGACCAGCACCACATGATCAAACATTTTGTGGGCAATGACCTTCTGGCACATCACTCGGAACCTGAAGAAACAGTGGGGAGAAAAATATCCCTCAGATGTTGGGTCAGCACGAGACTCCCACCCGAATGGCACATCCTTAAAAGTCTTCAGCAGCTGTGCCACCAGCATCAGACCAGGTAGTGAGCTAGTCTCTCCACAAGCTTCAGCCATTATTATCAATGCAGTAAATCAGATGTAATAACAGTTATTATTAATGCTGGTTAAACCACCCTTCTTCCTAGACAGGCATGGAGTGAACCATGCAACAATTCTGCCCACATGTAACAAAGTTACCTAAAAATTGGGAACTGGATTTCTAAAACTCTCAGTGCTTCTGCATCAGAGAGGGATTTTTCTCAAGGGAAGGCTAGCTAGAAATGTAGTGTTCCATTACCACAAAAACCTGAAAGGCTGGCATTTCACTGAGATTTCTTACCGATTCTGTGGGGAAAACAAGTAGAGGGACCAATCTTCATGACTCTTGCACCACTGTGGTTTGTAGGGCTCCAGGACTTTACGAATTCGGTAACAGTAACTCTGGACAGAAGAGAAAAAACACCTTTTCTTCCTCTTTTATTTTCCTGCCTCTTCAACTTTCACAGTCCTTTTGTGAAAGGGGGCAGTACATGGCATTTCATAGCACCTGTAGGGAGTCATGGCTTTTGGGACAGAGATGTGGCAGGTATTGTCACATTTATTCAACAAAACAGAGAGGAAAGGGGTGGAAGAAAGGGGCCGCTGTACAGTGAGATAGCATAACAAAGCGAGACTTTCTAGGCAGGTATCATTTTGAGATCCAAAGTTGTGTCAAAATCATAAAGGCCTCAAACAACCAAAAAGTTAAATAGAGAACATTCTAGGCTTTCAGGCCTTCAAGATGCCAAACAGCTCTTGTGAGCAAAGACATTAGCTAGCTGTTGTGTCTACAGCTCATTTTTGGAAGCATCCTGGGACAGGGGGACAATCTCAACCAGTCCAAAAACTAGGCAAATGCATGCACAACCCCTTGCAGTTTTACCTCATTAGAGACCGCTGCAAGGTAACAGCCCAACCCACTACCTAAAAAACACCAAACCCTTTTGGGAAGTGGATGCCCATCCCTTGGATCTGGATTTATTTTTTCTACACTTTCATTAGGCAGTAACACATTTCAAAGCCTGGTTTTTAAATCAGCCTTCTTGGAGTGAAAAAGCCACTTAACACATGAGCGTCCAATTTTCCCCTCAACTCACATCCTCCATGTCATCCTCATAGTCCATGGCTTCCTCCTTGTGGCCATCGACACGCAGGAAGAACTCGCTGGGGACGTGAACCATTTTGCCATTGCAGTCTTGGTACTCGGCAGGCAGAACGGCCATGGGGCTGATACTGAGTGAGTGGCGCATGGTGGGCAACTGGAGCAGCTCAGGCAGGTCCAGGGAGCTGCGGTAGTCCAGGGACTCTGCCCGGCGGTGCAATGAGGGCCTGCTGACCGTGCTGGACTTGGCGTCATCGGAGTCATCATCTGTGCTGCCTTTCCCCTCCCCGGAGAGCAAGGACTCTCTTTCTCCTGACTGGTTCTTCTTCTTGAGGCTTGGAGCTCTGCCCAGGCTATTCCAGCTTGAGCGTCGGCTTCCCCAGTTGCTGCTGGTGCCCCAGTTGGCGCAAGGGGAACTGCGGAGGCTGGACTGAGAGAGAAGACAGACATTTGAGGGTTTGTTTGCAGGAGGAAGCCAAAGGATATGGCATTTTTCCCAGACTCGAAGACCCTTCTTGTTGCAAGCCATGTCTTCCCCTTCCAGCTTTCCTCACTGCTCCAATTTCCTCATGCCAATGCCTTGAGGTAGGAGCCAAGCACCCAGCTAAGCCCACACTGAAGGCACTCTTTGAACTACACCTGGAGCACAGCTACCAATTCTCTGTGCTGCATAACTTCCTTCTGTCCTGGCAACATTAACTGCGTATAAAAACTGAACCCAAAGACACTATTGCTGAAGTGGCATTTTCTTTCTGCATGTTCAAGTGGTTTCAGCACGCAACTTCCCTTGCTTCCAAAGGGGCTCTGGCTCCTGAGCCACCCAAGTGTCTGTTGGAAATTATACCCCTATTTGCATTACTTTCTCTTCAATCTGCTGCATAAGGAGGTGGAATGAATGCTTCTCTTACAGCAAATTTCTGGCACTGATCAGCGTGGCAGTGCACTTAGGCTGGTAGGTAGTTGCCAGGATGAAAGCACTTAAGGTCAGGGCAGAAAAGCTAGAAGGAAAACTCCTTTTCCCTCCACGGCTTCCTCCCAGCACAAAACGAGGCAAACTGCCTTCCTCCTCCTTCTCAGTGTTGGCCAGCTCTCCTCTGATTGCTTCATCTTCCTTTGGCTGGTGGCACTGATGTGCTCTCAGAGAAAGGATTCAAACGATGAACAACCCTCTCCAGCAACCTACAATCCCATGAAACCCCAAGGCAAACTACAGTCATTTCTATCTTCTTTTCAAAAGCATTACCTTGACTAAGCAGCTTACCAAAGGGGATAGTGGCTCTGTCTCTGCATGAAGTGTCTTCATGGTCCGCTGCCTTGATTTGAACATGATATTGCAGTTACAGAGTCGAGGAATGGGATAGATAAGCAGCAGCAGCAATCCACTTTGTCTATTAACTCTGCTCCCTCTGTTTTCATAGAGCTACCCTCCTGCTCCCCTCTTGTAGGCAAAATGCAATCAGTTGCCAAAGCAGTCAGCTCAAGCCAGATCTCTGCTCTGTGAGCTGTGCCTGGTGGCAATCGGTCAGCTTATACCTTGTTTCCTCTGTTTCCCCTCCAATGGTGCTCCTGTACTGTAACTGGAGCTCAGCTGCTGCACTGGTAAGGACAAACGCTTCATTTCCCTTGACACAAGGTGGATTCAAGATGCAACCCTAAAACACTGTGGGGGGAAACAGGCCTCATCCTCATAGGAACACTTGACAGCTTCTCCAAGACACCACAAAATGGCCAGTGTGGTTAGCAAAAGATGCCTGCTCCTCCTCAGAGGGGTTTGCTGGAATAACTGCATGAACTTATGACTTGTCTCAGGTTGCATCTCTCCAGCAAGGTAGCTTGGCATGGACTTCCAATCAGATAGTATGCAGGAAAACACTGAATTCCAGTACATGCCTGTCTCCCCTATTCATATACTCACTGTCCTTGACTGTTATGCTGTCAGTGTTCTGCCCCAGCATAGCACACCCATCCATTTCTCCCTCTTGACTCTGTTCTTCCCATGACTTTCCAGATACTTCTCACTTCTACCATCCTCCTTTTTATTATCCAGTAACATGTGCGCGCACACACACATCTGTGTGCCTGTCCCTTGCAGGCACTTGAGGGAGAGTTGTTAGCAACAGGAACTTACCAAGGACTTCTGATCGTAGCTCAAGGGGTCTAGCGAAGCATTACTCCCTCTCCTTGAGTCCACAAAAGTGTGCACTGAATCCATGTGTGGGGAACACTTCGGTGTGGGCATCGGTGTAGCAGCAGTGCGCATGATTATAGGAGGCGGCATGCTTCCCCTGCCCTCCAAGTGTCCATTTGGGGTGACGGCCAGTGAGTACATCTTCATTTCTGGGGAGAAGGGGAGAGAGAATATGAGGTGAATGCTCAGCTACAGCTACAGAAATCACTCTTCAAAATGGACATTGCTCCTTGGGTCTTCTAGGAACTCTGCCAAATGGAGATCAAATGTTGTGGGCAATAAGATCACTCCCACCACGTTGAAAGGCATAAGGCAAATGTCACAACCTTTTAGGAGGCCTTCAGCCCTCCCTGGACTTGGAACCCATTGCCCTCCACAGAAAGGTTCTTTTGCTTGCTGTTTCTTGGGATTTAGAGAGTGGAGTTACAGTTCTGGGGGACTGGGAGAGAGTTTCCAGGGAAAGAATATTGAGGACTGACTAAATTCACCCTAGGAAGTTAATCTCTTCTCCTTGTTTTACAGTCTTGCACAGAGATTTTTATGGAGTTCTGATGTGCTCTAAGTTCCTTCATGGGGAAGGCACTAAGCAAACATCAGTCATTGTCTTTAGTCATCTGTTCAGGGGACAGGAAATGGAAGTTGCTTTTACACATCCACCTGCCTAGAAGAGTAAATCTCCTGTAACAGAGAAATCTAATGGCACACCTTTCTGCGATAACTGCAGAAAGCATCTATTTTAGCTATATGGCAAGTGCAGACTGAAAAAACATATTCACACTGAAGACAAACCAGACATAACACCTCCAGACCTATGGAGTGCCGTAATACTCAAATCCAAATGCCTAATTTCAAACACAAAACTGAAGTTAAACTAGCTCCTTTTTTACTGGGCTTGGTGGGTTTTGGTTTAATAACTGCAGAATCAAGACTTAAGGAGGGGGAAGGATGGGAGCATGTACAACCAGCAGGAAAGAAGTACAAGTCTTCAGTGAGAAACCCAAATGAGTGCATTACCACTGTTATTTTTCTGCCATTGGCTGCTTTTGTAATGCAGTGTGCTTCCATTGTGTCTTCTGTTTAGCTGCTGGCTTGTGCACAAATACCTGATCTGCACTACAGAAGTCCATGGGAACATTGCCATTCACTTTGAGGGGTGGAAGATCCAGCTCAAAATTTGCTAATCTGCAATACACGTTCCTCTTGCCAGTGTATCTGTTTACAGACTAACGGCATTGTAATAGAATTGTTAATGTCCTTATGCTGTTTAGTCACCGGTTGGCATCTATGAGGCTTATGGAGACACGCAATTACTCATGGACTTTGACTGGTGGCAAGTTCAGTCCTGTTCTCTATTCCTGCACTACCTGAGAAGAGGTGACAATATTTCTTTCCCCTAGAACTCTTATTATTTGAAGCTGCTGAGCAAATAGTTGGTACAAAGTTGGTGCTGTGGGTTCCTTGTCAACTATTTGCACTGGACATTCATTTGATCACTTGGTGTTTGGAATTTATTGCTTCATCTGCAGACTGAGCAACCCCATCACCTTGCTGTGATCCACCTCTGTCTCAGCTTCCCCAACAAACTATTTCTGCCCCTTTCTCAGCTGAATTCCATCCGCTCACCACAATCAATATAATTTCCTCAGCTGAAATGAATTCTGGTTTAGAAGCATTTAAAGTAATCCTAACAACAGCCTGAGCTGAGAATCAAAGTACAGAGGAACTAAACTGGCTCATGTTTACCATCATGGTATTCACTCCATTAAAATATGTGATGCCTTCCTGTCCCCCGTCTGGTTGCAAACTCTACAGAGCAAAGGCTATCACCTACTACTCCATGCTTATAGTACACTAGTACAATGTCGCCCTAGCTCAAATCAATTGCCAGGGCCTCCTGTAACACAAATGAACAGCAACATTTCCATCAATCAAACCTCACCTAAATGCATTTTTGTGAGAAACCAAAAAGAACAGATGAGAACATGATTGATTTGAAAAGCTGGTGAGAAGTAGTGTGAAAATATTGCTGTCAGCAAACCATTCTGTGGTAATGATAAAGAAATGATGAGACATATCTAAATATTCTAGTACAGTTTAAATTAGAAAAACATCCGTTTAAAGCAAATATCAAAGCTCATTTAGCTTTCCCAACGCTTTTTTGCATAGCTGCTCTGTTAACATAGTTATCAGATTAATTGCCAAATAAAATGGATTCTTCCACTTCTCTCTCTCAGTTTCTGTGAAAAGATGACTGTGGGAGCAGAGTTGGAGCTCTCAGATGCCCAGGAAAATGTAGAGACAAAATCTTACCCGTTGCTCGGAGGTCTTTTAGCTTCTCAAAATCATCATCGAAGTTGGCAGATGTCTTGTCCTCATCTGTGTCTGACCTATTGGCATCACCCTGCAGAGAGGAGAAGGATAATTAACAGACCCAATTCATGTAACCTTTAGCACAAAGGCATTTGAATTACTTAGCAGCTCAGAGATACCTCAGTTCCTTATGGTTAGTTTAAGCATGGCCCCAAGAACTAGGAGGGCAGAACACCAAATTCCCTCTGATACTATCCTGGGGAATGACCTCAGGTAAGTCCCTCTCCCTTGTTTTGATTCATTTTTGTACTGGGGCAGAAAGGATGATGTTGTGATTGTGACTACGGGTCCTGCAATGTCGTCATGTTTCCTACACTGCGCCCAGCCTCACTGAACAGTGTATCCCAGGGGAGAACATGAAAGTGCAGCTGTAATCAGAGGAGTGACTAAGAAAAATTGGCATTGTGGGGTTCCATATTTGCACTCTCCATGATCCCAGCTGAAAGCACTTAGGTTTTCATGTCAAAGGATGTCAAAAGGTTTTTCTTCTTTATTTGACAGCACTGTAAATTTGACTTAGCTCTGAAACCCCAGCCCTGATTTGCTTTCTTCACGCTGGCTGGTAATTGAGATTGTATTGGGAAATCTCTTGGCAACATTGAAGCTGAGGCAGAAGGGAATGAGGCCAGCTTGCCTGCCAGCACAGCATCATCTCAGGACAGAGAATGGCCAACCACCCTCAGACTGGCTTTCCTCCTGGAAGTCCAGTTATTTTTCCCTTTCATACATATCTGCCTCTGCTACCAAAAATGATCAGCCTAAATAATGTACAAGCCTGGGACAGAAGAGCTATTGTCAGGTTCTCCTCTGCTGGGAGAGGTCTGCAGAGAGGAGAGATTCCAGCAGGCTGTCGGCATGACTCTGGCTTGATCCATCAAGACTGCAGAAAAGCTGTGCAAATTGATAGCAAATGGTTGGATTAAAGCAGCTGATCCCAGAAAAAGGAGCACAGTTCCTTAACTGATGCCTGAACAAATCACCATGGTTTCTAGAGACATGGTGCTGAAGTGGCAGTGAACTTAATTTCATCTGTGATGTATTGCTAACTGGTGCAGCCAAACAGACAGGATGACTGAAAGGCTTAAGCTCCCTTATTCATCTTCTCTGTTTTGGAGCAGAAGCGCTAGTGCAGAGTAGATGAAAGATTTGCATAATTTTGGAAGGTTTGTCTGCTTTTCCAGAGCAGCTCTGGGGCAGATTTCAAAATGACATGGGAACAATACAAGCACAAATATGCAATTATGGTCCTGTGTGAAGTCTGACTGCTTGTTGTCCTAAGCACAAATGTACTAAAAATGGTTTTGCGGCCATTTAAGCCTATTCTCTTCTAGGGATACTCCTGCCAAACTTGCTGCACAGGCAGATCAGAACCCGAGCTCAAGCCGAGACTGTGTACTGTGATTCACAGTACAATTATTAGTGTCCTTGCTGAAATGCTGCTGAGGGCTCAGAGCTTAGAGCGGCTCTAATGTGCACCCTCTTAGCTGCACAAGTCTCCCAGGAGTCTCTCTCCATCTAAGTAAAAGTAAAACCTGAGCAAAGGGAGGAGAAATGCACCTCAGTGTCTTCTATAACTGCTAAGAGCATCACCCTGTAAGAGGGCAAAGTCAAAGAGGTCAAAACAAGAAATTCTGCCATATTCACAACATACCAACAGAACCAAGGATGACAAAAGAAAACCCAGCTCCACTGATACTTCTTCCTGGGAGTTGTCCAAGGAGACTGTAAACATCTTTGGTTTACAACCAGAGCTAAGTTATGAATTTATAAGTGCAAGGCTTGAATTGAGCCCTGATAGCTGAAATACAGCCCTGAGAAGGGTTTTCTGTAACAGAGCTAATACCTCACTATGAGACAACTGACAAGCCCATACGCTTAATGTCAGGATGTATAATAAATGGAAGTGGAGAGCAAAATGTGCCCTGCAAATGTCATGCCTGTGGTTGCTGGCCTTTTCTGAGGAAGCACTGAGTGAATAATACAAGCTTTGAAAACTACTCCTTACACACATTTAAATCATGGTCCGTAACAGCTCCGAAAGGAGCCATTAAGACTGAGGAAGCAAACGACAGCCATTCGGCTAGGGCTGTAATCACGCACTCAGAGGGTATTTCATGAGGTTGCCCATTTCTGGCTTCACTTTAGCAGGTGATTCAGCCTCCAACAGGGCAGGTAAGGAACTGGATCTGTACTATACAAAGACACCTGCAAGCTGCCAGGATGCTGAGCAAAGAAAACTTTCTTCTGCCTTAAAGCAATCAGGAACAAAGGATGCAAACTGCTGTACAAGGGCTCTCTGTGCCTAAATACAAGACTGCTTGAGCAGGAGCAGTTTCCAGTCAGTCAGGTCCCACATGGCTATTGTCCGTTTGGGTTTCCCTGGCATGTCCTCTTTTTCCAGCCAGATTTGCCGGTTGATGGAATCTGAGGATATCTAACACATCTGGCCACTGAAAACTCTGAGCTACCATACGGCCAACTGTATTGGTTGCTTCTGCCTTCAGTTCAAGAAAATCTATTACTTTAGCACAGACTTTAGTCTGCTATGGCCCGTGTCATTTTCTAGCAGAACTGAGGTCCAGCGCAACCACTTTGAATACAGCTACAACTCTCCTAGAAGAAAACCCCTTCTGGGTTGGAAGACAGCAGCTACTGCAGAGCCTGCAGAAATACTGCCAATTCCTTTGCTTTGGTCTTATTAGGTTAGTGGCTAAAACATCCATGTACATCTGCAACAGGTAACGCTAGAACAGGCCAAGGTGCTACAGTATCCAGAGCAAAGCCAGAAGATGTCGAGATCAGTGACACTGAGAAAACTACAGGAATTTGGAAATAAACAGTGTCAGCATGACCCCTAGTCACTGACACATAGAGTATAGGCTTGTTCCTGGAAAAAGACCTTCTTGCTCTTCTTGGTCAGCTGTGCTGAATCTTCAGGGCATGGACCACATTGTACAAGACACTAAAATGCCCACTAATGCAGTGCAGAGCTGTTCACTTTGAAAGTGATGAGCTGGACTTCTTGTGTCTTCTCTGTGTGTGCAGGTGGCACTCACTACCCTCAGCATCCATGAAACAGCCCTGAGCGACGTAGATCAGGGTTGTTGTTTTCCAAACTGGGGCTTGGATCCTGTTTCAATTAATTTTCCTCTGCTAGTGCTGTGAGGAAGCTCGGAGGGATGTTTTAATAATGAATCTATGCAAACATTCTTGAAAGACATAAATGTGGCTGTGCTGGCTTGAGAGAAGGGAATTTTTTGGTCAATGAATATTTCATTTATATTCCATGGTCAGTAAAGGTTTGTCTAAGTGTGAGCTGAACACGGCAAATGAGAGTATGATACCATTTCTGGGGAGAAAATGAAAAGTGAAAAAAAATCCTATAAAAATAATTTCTTTCTCTTCTTTCCCTTGGGAGCTAAGGCAGTGAAAACTGAAGCCATTTTCTCATTTCCTTTCTGAGTCTGTGTGTCTCTGAAGCCAATCCAGCACTAAGCAAACTTTCCTTTCTTGATAGTTGCAGAAATAAAAAAGTAATAATTAAAAAATCCCAAAGCACAATGTAAGCCCTTTCAATGCCACTATTCTTAGCTTTAACTGGGATGGGATGATTTTTGCTAAGTCTCAAAATCATTTCCATTTGCACTAGGACTTTGAAAAAAGTAATTTTTTCTGGATAATATGTATGTGCACATATATCATTATATTTACAACCTAAACAGATCATCCTCACTTAAAATCTCCGCCAAATGGACTTGCTGTGATCTGAAAGGAAGATGGAGATGAGCAGGATAGGGCAGGTGATGGCTGCTTTCACTCTCTCAGGATGCTAAAAGCAGATCTGGAGTGGACTTTCCAGTGGGGAGGAAAACTGCAGGGCCCTCCACTCACACCAGTACTATACCACTTACACCACTCACACCAGTGTCGCCTGCTGCTCTGCATCATGTGGCACAGGATTGCCTGCACAGCTGCTAAGGTTCCTGTCTAGTTCAGATCAGGACATGGCATATCACTTTTGACTGAGAAATAAAATAATTTCTCTAATCCTTTCCATGTGAGATGAGATGCCTGCAGTTTATCATAAATTCCCTGCTCATTGACCTGATACAGACATTATTTTCAGGTATAGATAAAAATCTTTTTAGCATTTATATGTCCTACATCATCCGAAGTACCTCAAAATGTAATGTTTGTAACTGTGCAACGCAGCTCTTGAACAGCTGTGCTACTAGCCTTAAATAACACATAAGGAAAGGTCTGGATTGAGAACCAGTTCACATCTTACTTGGTCCCCATGACTAGCACTGGATAGACAGATCGAAGCTTGAGGCCCGCCATCAAGAAACACAAAACACAGGACATATGGGATATTTGGTGAGTTAAATTAATCCTACATCATTTCCTCTAGGTCACACAACAGACCCTATAACAGATCAACCAAAGTGCTGGTCTCCCAAGTCCCATGCCAAGGCTAGTGGGGACTATTTGCAAAAACAGATTCACAAAAGCTTCACATGCCCAACACAGCTCATCTATACCCCTTAAGTTTAAATTTAGGGTTCCTTGCATGGCTAGATGTTTGCACTGACATGGATTCATCCCTACACTCTTGCCTACATGTGCTTCTCAGTTTTCTCCCTCCCTCTGCTCAGATCTCTTACCTCTGCCTGGAAGCCTTCTACCAGAATGGCAACAAGAAGGTTGAAGAGCACATAGTTGCCGAAGGTCATCAGGGCCACAAAGTAGAGTGCTGCCCATGAGGATGTGGATGCCATCCCATTGTACAGGACCACGTTCCAGTCCTCTTGAGTGAGGATCTGCAGAGAGGTGAAGGGGAAGACTCTCTAATTACTCCACTCTCTCATGCACAGCAGCTGCATTCAAATACTGACTTATCCATTTCTTCCTCTCCTTTTGACCTTTTCTGAGCGTAATCATTAGCAGGTCTCATGATATGAGACAGCAAAACATCTTTTTATTTAGATCTTTGCATGTGAGAGCTCTCTCCTGGCCAAACCTCCCCTCTCTGCAGGAAGATCTAGCACACCACTGCCCACGGAGATGACTAGTTCAGATCCTAGATATGGTAACATGAAGGATGAGCTGGTACGAGTCCCATTATTTGGTGGTAGTATTGCCTCCTTTGATAACCATCAGAAGACAACAGAGGCCAGAGCTGTTGTCTCCTTTTGGGCTGCTCATTATAAGGCATCTGGAGCTGAAGGAAAGGGTAGGGGACATGATATTTGATGAGATAAATGACACTGGGTGGCTCAAGAAACTCAGGGAAGCAAAGTGGTTTCCATTAGGTAAAAGCACTAACAAACTGGGCAAAAAAACACATGTCTTTGCAAAGCCTTGCACCAAGGGACCTTCCTCAGGGATTCACACTCTCCTACCTTTCCTGAAGCTTAAAAATTCAGGGACCTATGAAAAATGAATGACAGATTCATGCTCCACATTAATTTGTGCTTACAATGAAAATGGCCTCTAACCCTCCTAACAACAAGGTAGCTTTGGGGACGGGAATGCAGTCAGCTGCACTGAGGCATGCCACTCTAACCTTCATGGGATGTAGGACTGAGCCCTTGTGTTCTGTGCCAACTCTATTTCCCAAGGGACTGCTAGAATAAATGCAGAAATCTGTATTTATGTTGGTAAAAGAAAAATATGAACCTGTGAGACTAATGCTGATTTCTCCTTGCTCCTTTCTAAGGAGGAAAACTTTACAAGAAGTTATATTCTTCACAGTGAAGACTGTGGACTGGGTTGTACCTTGAACGATACTGTGGTGAACACCTACTCTGCATTTAGAAACTTACCTTAACATTGTTTACACTGTGCTCCACTTGGGCTCTAAGGACTGAACTTTTAAACAGAAAAGACTAATCTTTATATTTAGAATGCCCTGGAAATAGCAGCTTATTGCTCCATTGTGGAATATGCCAGTAATTTCAAGCACATAACAGATCTTGTCTGCAGAGGGAACACAACTTTTTATATAAAGACTTTCCTAGTAGATAAAGCCAGCAACTCCAGCTCTGATTTGCAACAGTATTTGTCACTCCCAGTTAAATGAAACTGTTTGCAAAGTGCATTTTTGGGGCAGTGAAGGCAAGTAAGGAGATAGAGAGCTACACAATAGGAGCAGAATGGACAGCAGACTGCGGGTCTTAATCTTACCGACTATATGAAAGGAAAATAAGGGTGGATTTCCATGCCTTCTTAGACTTTACTTTTACTGCCAATAAATATGCACAGTGATGAGTGATGATTTTGAGTAGACTGCTTCTCTGTCAGGGCTTATAGAGACCAGCTAACTCAGAAACACAATCACTTTGCCCTAATAACTCTACAGTGCCATTTCACTCCAAGTTTGACACCTACTGGAATAGTTTTGGTTTTTTTTTTTTTAAAGTGAAATAACTTGTCCAGGTGGTCTACATCAAAACTTCCCAGAGGATCCAGAACTTACCTGAAATACAGTCACAATGGCCCAGAGTAAGGAATCGAAATTCTTTCTATCTGGAACTGTGTCCCCTGTATCAGTTTTCAGGCTGAACTTGCATCCAAACAGATGCATGCCGAGAATGCTAGAGTAGGAAAAAAAGAAAATGAAGAAACACATTATTGTGTGAAATATGGTTGCAGGGAGGATTGCAGTGATTTTTCAGACACTTTCCTCCCCCCAGTGTTTTGTGTGCCAGTGGTACCTCCCAGGAAGAGGGAATTTGCTCCACCACTGACATGATCACTGATCGGACTCAGCCATTTGGTTCTTCTGTGTCATGTTTTATTACAACTGTCTACACTGAAGTCAAATCAGGATCTCCTTTATCTAAAAAAAATGACAAACCATATTGCCAGCTTCCTAATCCAACTGGTTTCCAAGAACAGGATCCAGAGGAGCATTATGGGGTCAAACAGACAGAAGTTTTGGAGTCTGTACAACTTCCATTTCAAATATAACACTGGTAGAGTCCAGTCACTGACAGCTTCCTGAGACACAGCTGAACAAGCTTCCCAGGAACTCCAGAGCAATTGTTGCCTGCTTGCGTACTTCATTCATCTACAGAATTACAGTACTGCATGAAAAACTGAGACCGAAAAGAGGTAAATAGTCTGTTGAGTGTCTGCTTGTCAGTCTATTGTGAGCACTTCTATCATGTAGGCAGCCTAGCAAATGCAGCGTCTTGTTATTCTAATCTACATATTACTTAAGCAAGCTGAATGATAATTCAAAGAAGAGCCGCAGACTCTGGTACCTGAAGATAAAGATGAAGAGCATGAGCAACATGCAGAAGGTGGCTACGTTGTCCATTGTCTTCATCAGGACCACCAGCTGACGACGGAGAGCGGGCATGAAACGCACCAGTTTCAGCACCCGGAGCAGCCGAAAAGTTCGTAGCACAGAGAGGCCTCCGTCTGACTGGCCGATGATCTCCCAGACGCTGCAGGAACACCAGATAGAGAAGAACTAAAACCAGCAGTACTGTACGGTGAAAGCCCTGAACAGGCAGGTTTCTTACAGGATTTCACATCATTTAATCCCCAAAGGAGTAGTTTATTTGCCTGCTGCTTTCTTGCTTCTGAAAAACACCTTCACTTCCCAGTTGTGCAGACACACGTGCTCATGCACAACCTACATCCTTTATAACTGGTTTCTTGATTCTTTAATTCCCTTACTTTCTGCAGTTCTTTACAACACAGCACATCTCCTGCTAGTCTGCATCAGTACAATCAGTCACAAGCCTAGCCACAAAACGTGGATCACAGTTTTGTACAAGCTGATATCCAGAGGGATTTACATTTGTTGGGGTGGGTTGATTTGATCAACCTTTGTTCTGGGCCTCTATAGATCCTCACCTCTCTGAATGAAAGGGATGGGCCAACTGAAGCCAAGAGCACTATCCTGGTTTACAACTTCTGTGTTTGCCTTGACTCTCTGCCCCAAATTACTGATCAAGGGGTGAACAGCACTGCTAGAAAGAATTCCAGCACATAGAGGTGCCGTACAAGCTTCTCACCCACACACTGTGACATCCCCAGTTTAGGCTGGGATAGTGTTTGCCTGAGAGAGGACAGCAGAACAGTGCCCTCTCTTACCCTCCTGCTTGCCCTATTCTGGCCTGAGTTATGTGTTAATTCAGGAGAGGGAGGGCATGCTGCTGGGATACAGACACTCACAGTACTCCTTTCCCAGGACCAGTCATTCTGCGCTTCAGTGGAAAAATGACCACAGTGCCAGATGTGTGGCGTAAATAGACTTTGTTCTCCATCTGCCAGGTCCATTTACTTTGGACAGCCCTTCTAATGACAGGAATCTAAAAGGCCAGCATAATTATAGCACATCATAGCCAGCAAGCCACGTCATTCTTGTTCCCTATCCCACTCCCCTACTGGTCTGAGCCCTCGGCAGAAAACCCACAGTGGAGAAAGAACTGGCAGTGACCTGATGACAACTATGATCCCATCAAAGATGTTGTACGGGTTCTTGATGTAGCCAAAGAGGCCAAAGGCAAGGAGTTTCAGGAGCATCTCCAGGGCAAACATGCTTGTGAAGACGATGTTACTGATCTCCAAGGCGTTGGTCAACTCGTCCGGCTATGGGGCAAAAAAGCAACATGGTCAAAGAGATGCACAGAGGAAATGGCTAAAGGCTAGTATGTTCCTCCTACTCTGGGAGTTGTGTTAACAGTGCACAAATGCTGCATCTTCCCATGTTTCTTCTGGAGGGCCGTGGAGGCAGATAAGTGTCTGAAGGGAACAGCAGACAAGCCTCGTGGACAGTCCCTGTGAGACTTACTGGAAACACAGAATCCCAGCCCATTTCTAAAGCAGTTGCAGAACAACTGTGCCCAAAACACGGGCCCAAAAAACTAAAGCTATGCAAAGGAGAGGTCTTGTTCACTGTTGCAAGACACAATTATCCAGGTGAATGGCTAGTATGGCTTGTAAGGCTTCTGTTTGGACTCGCATTGGTCAGGCTGTTTTTATTGCACTAATCCCAGCAGAGCTTTATGGATAGCGCTATATCCAAAGCAGGACCACTGTCAATACAGCACAGTTCTATTCATATACAAACAAAGCACTTTTCTTGCAGACATCTATTAAGAGAATTAGGAAAACAAATACTTGTGAAAGTCAGTAGGATCAATAGTTTTATCTTCCTTGAGATATATACCTCCCTTTGGAAACTGTCCCCAAAAAAACCCAAGATGAGTTTTCCTTCTAAAGTCCTAGTTAGTACTGTAGAGCACATTTTATTAAAATGACAAAAATATGGTCCTGAATGTCAGGATTTCCTCCAGGATCAATGTGGGTTTCTCTGAGTGTACAAGACTGCATGCAGCTTAAATCCAAGAACTGATTTCTCCATCTCCCTCTTCTATCACCAGCACCAAATTACCTTGGGCTACAATTTTGCTTTTCAGCCAGAGCCTTAGATGTTCCTTTCCTGGCAACTGCAACAATCTCTGCCCAACGCCCAGGCTGAAAATGTGACACAGCGGGGACAGATGCAAAAGGTGGGATGGGGTTTGCTCTCTTACTGGAGCTACTCCCTCAAACAGCACCAGGCTCTGCAATGCGCATTTCTAATGCGCAAGGCCTGTTCCTTTGCAAAAGAAAATGAGTCTTTTTCATTTCCTCAGTGTAATAATATTGTCTAGAAAAAGGTGTTATTTTCATATCTGACTCATCTCCTGACTGATAATAGCTTCCTTTATTCCCCATCTGTCATTAGACACTATGTTAAAAGTTGGCAGTTTCTTGGGGATGTTGTTGCATTATTTGAGGCTCTGAAGGTAGAAGACCATTGTAATACTGTGGCACGGCCACATTTAACTCCACACTCTGCAAACTGAATCCTTGGCAATTGAAGGAGAGGGTGAAAGAGTTAACTTGAATGCAGGAAGAGCCCACACGTCCCCTACTATAGGCAGTGACAGTCTGTGGGCTGCTAATGAACCATCATTCATAGGCTAAATTACTTTACGCAACAGACTGTCTTTTGCTCAACCATTTATGCAGGAGAAAGAGCACTAAGAGCCTCAGTCCGCATTATTATAATCCATATACACTAATTACTAAGGGACACCAGGGGAAGGACTGTGCAATTTTCAGTTCTTTAGTCTCTAGCAAGGGGTAGCCCAGATGGCTGCACAGTGCACCTGAACAGCAGGATCACCGGGCTGCTCTCCTCACACCCTCCTTGCTGCAGGAACAGCGATTCCCTCCCTAACATCAATCAGTGCTCGCCTGTGCTATTCCCTTCCCCGACGATGCCAAAACAACCCAGGCAGAGGTCTTCCCTTTGCAATGAAAACACAGCTGACGAAAAGGGCTGCTCTAGGATTGCATCTAACCAGCTCCCCAACAGGGACTGACCCTGAAATAGCCCCGTGGGCTCCCAGGCGCCTGTCCCGCTGTAAGCCACAGCGGTGACGGGACACCATGCTCACAGCGGCCTCGAGCCATTTGTCAGAGGCAGCCCATGGCTGGGCCGTTCGGTCTCCCCCCCCCCGCTGGGGTTATACAAGGGCATTCTTAATAAGAAGCAAAATAACTTGCTAAATTCTTACATCCCTCCAGGCAGCAGACTGAGGGCTCCTTGGGACAGGGTGTTCATGGAGGGCCGAGGACGGCTCGTTAGCATGTTGAAGCTGGGAAATTAATGGCACAGTCATCAGCAATAAAGCTGCAGCTTGGGCAGCTTTGAAAGGACAAAGTTCTGTAGCACTTTCTGCTGGGAAACGCAGAGAACCTGCCTGTTGCTACCTACAGTACCTTGTAGTCTGCAATACAGCAGCAGTCTCATCTGCTAAAGTAAAACTTAATTCAGCGTTCTCCACGTTCACCTTGCTGCTGCTGGATATGCTGTCAAGAGTCACAATTTTACCATGAAAATTGGGATAGCTGGTGATCAGTTCAAAATCCCTGATCTTGGAATTGTGCAAATATAACAAGATAATCTCAGGAGTCGTTACCAAAAAGTCGGTGTCCAGTCTGCAAAGCCTAAGCTGAAGAAACTACAAAACAGCCTCTGGCAAATAAAAAGAACGTGTAAGTTGTTATTCTCTAAAATCTCATGTTTCTAAGCCAACCGCAAGATTTTTCTATGGCCTGGTGAACACATGGCATTGCAGCCAGTTAATCTGCCGGTATCATTGCTTGAATTGATTTGCCAGTTTCCTTCGACAATTTGGTGTCTTTTATTGCTTAGTCTCCAGTGCTGTGACTTTTGCTTCTTATGCGAGTTCAGAGAGTACAGGAGAAAAGCCGCAACGATCGCTCAGGGGAGGGGAGAGAGGGCACGAGGAAGAGGGAAAGGAGAGGACAAGGAGGTGGCCCAGATGAGATCATCAATAGCTGTGATGAGGAGCTGATCCAGCAGATCAAGATGATGGGGGTGGGGGCGCATGAGCAAGGCTGACACTGCAAAGCCAGTCGTGCTTCAGATGAGATCTTCCTTATTCTTTAGTGATCACATCTGGTGTGAGGCAGAACTAATTCGATGACAAGGTCTGCTGTAACGCGAGATGTTTGGAGCGCAATCCTGCAGTGACACAGAGGCAGGACCCACTGGGCAAAGACAAGGATGGATAGCTCTGCATGCTGGCTAAGCTGCTGATGTGAGCCTTTGTATTATTAGAGTGGAAGCTGAACAGCAGATGAGCCAAGCATCCAGTGATACAGCCTTCAAATGTAATTACCTTCTTTCAACACCAACTGGAGCCTAGAAAACAGCCTCCCATAGATATTTGTATGGCTTATGAAATGGTTTGTTGCTTAGAGCACAATTCATTTCCCACTTCTCTCACTCCCTGACCAGCAAAGATCTAGGAGGAGGGTCAAGGAAGAGACACTTGAAAGCCAAGATGGATTTGGCCATTCCCCTGGAGTCAGCCACTAGGAGACACTGTTGTTTTGTTCAAATTGAAGCCAACCCCAGAGCAGCAATTTTTCCAGGAGCCTTTTTCTCTGGGAAAAACAAAATGTTGATTTGCTGAAAACAAAACTTTTCATGGCAAGGACTATTTTTATCAAACTTCCTGGCTGGAAGAAAAAGAAGTTGCAACAAGGCTTTAAAATTGCTGCAATGTCTTCTTTTGACCTTCTCAGAAAAGGAAATTTCAGGCTTTTTGCTTGAGATGTGGTTGTCACAAAATGCAACTTCCTAGCAAGGAATGGTTAACAAAGAAAGGCTGTCATCAAAACAATGCGCTTCCAACAGGGTACTTCTAAAGTGGCATTTTTTGCTTTTTGCTAAATATTTTGTAAACCTTAACAACTCTGACAGAAGGAAACTACTTCCCCACCGTAGAGCTCCAACCGCCACCAGTGAAAAGTTCCTTTTTCGAGTGACAGTGAGAGAGCACGACCCCTCATCAGCTTTGGATGTCTCCACATCTTTTGCTGCTGCAATGACTGACCTCCAGGTTTTCAGAGACAGGACAGGCCAACTGGAGCATGGCCAAACAACCAGGTGGCATTGCATGAGGCCACGAAACACCCAGGAATCTCTGCAACGGATGCAATGCGGGAGATGGTGGCAATGCTGTCCCACTGATACCAGGGTCCACAGTGCCAGATGTAAAGGCTGGAACGGGAACCGCCACGCTGGAGACAGTCAGCAAAAATGAAAAAATAGAATGGTTTAACCCACAAGTTCTACCATCACATCCCAGGCAACGTTCAAAAAAGGTTCAGAGTGCAAATTTTATAGATTTCAGATTCAAATGAATCCTCATCATTTGGCTGCAGTACTATTTCTCACCATTCAAAAGAAGGACAGAAACTGTATGGGATCAATTTGCAAGATTTCAGCATCCTTGAATATGAGTTTAACAGTTAGCCTTGACCCCAGGCAAAACATGTCCCAGGAAAGCACAACCACCTCTGCTCACTTTGAAGGGCATATTTGTGCTGTGGAATATTTCAGTGATTCAAAACCGTGTTTTTATTAGGGACAAACCTCAAACGTTTCAGCAGTTCATTCTGAGTTCAGATAAACAGACAAAAAATCCTTTTCTAAATAGTTTGGGTCTGCAAACCTCGGAAGACTAGTCTCTTTCTGAGAATCTGATACTTCTGGTTTTAGCAAGATGCAACACAATCCCAGAGCCTTCCTGGAATCGGGAGAAATTCAATAATAGAGAAACCCATAACGGTCAAATTATTGATGGCTCCTACAAGCAGAGGATGAAGAACACCAGTAGGACTTTGCAGCCTTAGATTCTCTTTGTACAACTGAATTACTGCATTTCTTCAAGCAAGTCATTATCTCTTTGTGCCTCTTTCTCCTCCCACCTCTCTTCTACCTTGTATCTTTTGATTGCTGCAACCACAACCATCTATTTTACATAGCTTAGGTTCAATCACCAGCAGGATGGCACCACGCCTTGGCTGGAGCACCTTTTTGCTTTGATACCGACTAGAAATAATCATGCCTGCATCACACTGGAGAAAAGGGCT